AAAAGTATAGGGGCGGTAGGGTAGCCTAGTGGTTAAAGCGTTAGCTCGTCACGCCGAAGACCCGGGTTCGAATCCCCACATGGGTACAATGTGTGAAGCCCATGTCTGGTGTCTCCCGCCGTGATGTTGCTGGAATATTTCTAAAAGCGGCTTAAAACAAGTTTCAGTCAGTCGGTGAATAGTATATGTGCCGTCAGATACAAAACACTTAGACGACGGCAAGAAAATAGTGGAGAAAAAATAGCCGGAAATGGATGAAATTCTCCCAAAACATGCATTAATGTCTTTGCACTCAGTATGTCAACCACAAATTCAAAGGAGAAATGTTAAAGGAACTAAGTGGAAGATATGTTTGTATTGAGTAGTTGCATATGCAGTGAGTGAGAGTACAAGTTTCCTGTCTTGTGTAATATGTTGCAGTCATCAGTGGTTATCATAGAGAATACTACACGAGGTCTTATTACATACGAATTATACGAAACGAGTGTCCTTCCTATGGTATCTGACCGAGCGAAAGCGAGGTCAGATAACATAGGAAGGTCACGAGTTTATCTGTCACGTCTTACATGCATTTAAATTGACAAAATAATGTATTTTTGTTATGTTTTTGGTTTCAAACCGAAACCGGTTTCATAAAGTGGTTGCGGAAGAGTTTTGTACTGTAGTACAATATTTGCATGACGTCACACTAATGCCGTCACTGCCATGGTAACCGACGTCACGATGCATGTCAGTTGTCATCGCCTCGTACAGCCTCCTACAGTAAACTACTCCGTTGCACCTCGTTTCTTGGTTTCCAGTTGCCTCATTCGGCTAACATCACTGGTGGAAACATTGAGTTTATGTTTTTCGACAGATATAATGTCTCAGTTCGACTCACAATTAAACAGCGACACGGCAACGTTCGCAATGTTTACATTCCCACAATGCATTTAAGTTGTAGAATGAATGAATTCACGTGTTTGTTATGAATGAAAAAATAGTTACGTCAGAATGTGACCTAATTGAGAGGTCATCGGTTATCCAATCAAATCGTTAGAATTTCAGGTCAAGTCGTTACGACACAGGTCAACGCGATACGACACTCGTGTGACGTACGAGATTAGTATGCAACTACCCATACGTTGACCACGTGGGTAATAAATTATGATACCGTTGGTCTGTTTAGTCTAGCCCTACTTGATGATAAATCTTTGATTTAGGGAATGTATAACGATTTTGATGATCATTTATTCAGTGAAAAATATGTGTAATATCCCACCAGTATGTAATACCTTGTCTGTCAGTCTGTCTGTCCTGTCCGTCCGTAATTCATTTCTTTTCCGGAGCAGAACTTGAAAACCGCTCATTATTTCTTTCTGAAACTTTGTATGCATCAGCCAAGTACTGAAGTGGTGCCTTTTGATATTTTCAGAATACTAAAATTTCATTTTAATGGCTAGACGTTGAACTCATTCCAGGTAAGGGTTTGTTTATGGATCAGCAAAATGATCTTAGGATTTATGTGGAACTGGTGGGATAGTCATCTTCTGATGAATTTTGTTGTCACATTGATATAGAATAAACCTGACTTGTCTTAACTTGATATAATAACTACTTTTAAAACAAATATAAAATATATATACTAATTTACTAAATATTAACTCATGTGAAATTAAATGATATGGTAGAATTACCAAGACAGAAAGGCCATGGGCTCTTAATAGACAAAGGCTAATCATTTTATATTTTTGCATTCAGATTTTCCCAATTTGTTTCATTTGCAAATTGTCTAATTTGTCTAGACTGAACGACCCTTTCTCATTGTAAAAGCTACAAAAACTTTTACAAAATCACACAGATTAGCATTAGCAAGGGGGGGTTTAGATTTCAAAGGGAGGTAATTCGATCATGAAATTGATAAAAATGCAGACCACATGTGAAAGTCACCCATTTTGAATTTGTTTTAAAATGCCTTTGTCACTTGAAAAAAAATATTTTAAGGTATGATTTATTAAGTATATACTTTTTTCTTTAAAATAAGAAAGTTTCATTAGTGTAATAAGACATTTTCCCCACAAAATCAAATTTTCAAAAACATATTTCATCATAACAAAACTATTAAACCAAGTCTAGCTCTGAATATAGTTATTACACATCTGCCATTTACCACAGCCTGTAGTGCACATACTATTTCCCATCTTTGTAGAAGGGATTTGCTTCAAATCAACGTAAACTGAGGGTACCCTCATGACCTGGGTTTCAGCCCACACTGACTGAGGTCAGGATGAGTTATCTGCCCTTAGCTTGAGCATTGCTAAAATGTAGCCTTGAATTTATGATTCACGATCAACACAACCTGAAAATACTTTCTGATAAAAGTTGCAGTCAGGCTTCTCATAAATGGATTGTTTATATAGAAAAAAACCAAATGAATATAGAAACTTCAAATGGTTAGATGCCGATCGCTTACTCACTGTCGAGTCCGATTTTCGATCACCTACAACTCCTACGTTTTCATATTTCACGGATATAAACATACTCTTAAATCATATCCTGGCTAATAAGGTAATTCTTTTCATAAATATGCACAGTGAAGTGACATGAATAACAAGTTTTTGACGGCGCTTGACATTGAAATGATCAGTGTGGTTTATCTGTTACAGAATTTGTAAAGATGACTTCATATTAACTTATTTTACAGGCCTGGAAACGTAGTAAAAAGATTTTTATATCTCCTTATGCTAGATCTAGATAATATATTTTGAATAAAATGTTGGAGGCAAATATTTGGTCATTATAATTCTCTGATCAATGGTTATCTAGTTACATTTGATCATGATGAAAACTTGTAAATTTATTTGTGTACTGAATATGATTATTGTCTAGATTTTTAACAAATATATAGTATAAAAAAAAATGAAAATCACAACATTACAACAATATTTCAAATCCTCTTTTTTATTCAACTCTACCACATAAGGCAATTAAAAATATCCAAGAAAATGTCTATTAGACTGTCTCAATAATCCAAATAAAAAATAACTATGTTCAGAAAATGACCAGAGATAATAGAACAGATGGACACTTGTAAATATTTAATGAGCGACAATAATTTAAGCATAACTGAAAATTCTTCATATCATAATATTGTTGTTCCAGGAAATCCAATTAGGTAAAAAGAACTGTGGAGGAGGTGAAGAAGCAATACGCTAATATAAAGCAGAGAGGTAAGAACAATATATTCAATAAACAATCATAATTGCAAAAGGGAAAGTGACTGATTGGAAAATAACAATTAATAGAAGACATACCTTCACTGCCTTGTATAACAATTTCAAGTATAGACTGAAGGCCCATACACAATATAATTGCAAATATTAATAAATTTAATATACAAATAATGAATGAAGTGAATGATACTTGAATTGTCATGAATATGTATGTTAATGATATGTACTTATTACAGGTAGGTAATTTAATTTGAAATTCCTATTATGATTTGGTTTTATGTGTTTGGCAATTCATAGCTAGTAGATTGTTCGAAATGTAAATGTAATATAGTCATAAATGCCAATATGACAGTGTTTTGTAAGATTCTTATGCTATTTCAGAAACATATCAATATATTGTATTCTTCATCGCAAAGGACAAAGCAGACGCTATACGCCGGACAAAGACAGGTGGTGGACCGAAGCCCCCCTCACCCTCTCTACCAGAGGCCATGGTCCTAGAGGACTTAGCTGACAGGCCTACCCTACAAGGCCTGGTAGATGGCTTTGACTCGGAAGGTAAGTGATGCTATTTTAACATAATAGAACACTTTAAAATTCACGGTCATAATGTTTTAATTGTTTGGAAAAAAGGTTTCATAGGCACAATTGACCATACGGCTTGCCCTAAAAAATGTACAGTAATTTCAAGAGTTGCCATTCTCATTAATTAAATTTTTCTCCATTTTGTGCATGACCGAGTGTCACATTGTGCTGAATTTATATCTTGTGATTTTGGCCATCTCATTTTATCAAACACTGATTATAGGGAAGTCGCAATGAATAATAAGCCTATTATTGCATCAAAAGCAATCTAAAGTGGGGTATAAATGCACTAATATAGCCAATTGCATTTTGGAAAGTGTGCTCTTGTGCCCTTAATTAGTACACATGAAATCAAATCTGAGTAGTTTTATTCAAATCATATGAAGCCCATAAACAAATTGCCTGAGGATTAGGCAGATCACCAACTTGTTGAGTTGTATCTGTTACAGATTTCAGTAGTGTGATCAACTCCATGGCGATGGAGGGGAGTCTGCCTGAAGGTGAAGCTCACCTACCTGTCAGTCAGGAATGTATTCCCAGTGAGTATAAACATCTTAATATATCTGTGCACAAAAAGCCCTATATTTAATATCATTAAAAAAAGAGATTTTCCAATAATACCGGTAGACATCCAAATTGTTTACATTCTTTGACATCTTTTAAGTTTGGAAGTCTAAATAGATCAACAGGCTCTGCATGTTTAGAGATTGAGGATATAATGTCAAAATGTGTACACTTCCTTAGATAAATAGGCAATGTCTGGTCTACAGTACTTGTAGATAGTATACCTGTCAATCATCAAAAAACAAATTCCAAATTTGTCATATTTGTTCCAGATTGCACCTTGCCTGTTGATGTCCTCATTGACAATAAGGGTATCCTGCACGTCCCCTCCACAACAACAACAACAAAATTGAGCAAGAAAAGAAAGTTACTAGATGATGAAATGTCTGTTCTCCAAGCGGAAAGAGACAAATACATTGCAGAATGGGAAAAGTTAAAGCAAGAAGCCATTTTTTTCAGAATTAAGGCTGAGGTGGAAGAGCTGAAAAAAGAAAAATTACAATTGGAAATAATGAAGCTGAAGTGTCAAAATGAGCAGTGATTTGTGATCTAAATAGAATCCAACTATCATATTTGTACATAAAATATATAACACAATGAAAATTTGTTTGTTCATTATGTTATATAAGAAGTCATCATTTGAAGATAATTTGTACAATATTCAGGTGAAGTATGACTGACAAAGATAATTTCTAACATTTGTTCCACTCAGATCATCAGCAACTTGGAGAGTGAATTTATCATCATTACAATCATCGTAATCAACATTAATTACATCTTGGCGGTCAATGCCGATATTATGTAATATTACACTTGTAACAATTACGTTACATGCACTCTTGGGTGACATGCGCAAACCACTGTGCAGACAAGAAAATCTGCGCTTAAGGATTCCAAATGTTTGCTCAATAAGAACTCTGGTTTTCGTTTGACTTGAATTTTTCTTGAGCCCTGTTTGCTGGAGATAGATACGGTGTCATTAGGTAGGACTTGCATGGGTAGCCAGAGTCTCCCAGAAGTAAACCCTTGTAAGTACCTGAAATAGAAATGACAAATTATAAATGTCAAGTATTCTTTGCTTGTTATTTGTATATGATGTCAATTTGATTAAGTCATAGGCTGGAGAATTCATGTACAATGAACTGGAAAGGAGGTTAGGATATGGTGTTTTAGTATAGTTGGGTAATCATAATAATTCTATATCAAATAGTTAAATATGATTTACTTAGTATTTAGTGTTATTGGGTAGTTACACTAAGTCTTGTGTGAGTTGCTGGATTATTATGTACATAATCCTATGACATGTTAGGTTATGTGGACTGTAGTGCATTGTTGGTATGAGAAACAGTGTGTGTGTGTGCACACGTGTGTGTGGCTAATATGTATTGTATTTCATTGTGTTATGTTATTATTAGGTACTAAATACACTCATTGGCCACTGGTGACTTATTCCTGTGGAGTACCTGCGTCTATGAGATGAGGTTAATTTTATTCTTAGGTGATGATATTAATGTGTTTTTATCTTACTGATTAGATTTTCATCTGTATGACTACAATTTGTGATATATGCTTAGATATATACATATATTAAGTAAGCCTTGTTGTGTACTGAAAATGTTAAATTTAATTGTATGTTTACTTAAAGATACTTGTTGCTGTACACCAGTAATTTGTTTATGTTTTGTTTCAAGGGTTTTGTCACAATATCCACTGTGAGGGATCATCAAATCCCAGACAATAAATCTCTAAACCCTTCACAAGTTTTCGTCATTACTAAATCTTCACGAGATACCCGTTATATGAGTACATTCACAATGGCATTCACATGAAATTATTAAATGTATTCTCATCGCTCTTACTACTAGAGGTCTGATGATACAATATGCACTGTCATATCCTGGATTGATATGATTAATAGAACAGTGACATAAATATCAACATAAGCAAAGTTTATACATACCATTTTCGAATGCCACACTGATTTGACTGTCCCGGAAAATTCTACTGTCATGCACACTTCCAGGCCATTTAGCCACACAGTTGGTAACTCTAAACTGTGCATCACAGATCATCTGCCACAAGAAAATAATAATTTGTTGAGTAAATGTAATATTTGGGTTGAATGTTAATTCCATAACATGTAGTAAAAGTAAACTAATGATTATTTTTGATAATCAAAATTAGTTTTCATTTTTACTATGATGTGAAAAATTACAATAACATAATCATGAATTAATTTTAATACAAATTCATTACTATTTATTTTTAATATTCAGTTCTAGGAATATGAACAATTTTCAGTATGGAATATGTTTTTAACTTGAAGAATTTTAACACATGAAACTCACCTGAACATTGAGTGAATGAAATCCCTTTCTGTTCACATAGTCACTTTCAGCTTTATTTGGGGCAATGATCCTTATGAACGTGCCATCAACACATCCCAATACGTTTGGAAACCCTACAAGGTGTAAACAATTATCTAAATTTAAGATTGAAATGATAACAATACCATAGGCAATATCTTTGCAATGTTTATATATTTAAGAGGTGATTTTTTTTTTATTCCGCTTCGCAGTTCAACTTTTATATCTTGAAACAGCATTTGGATTGAACTCCCCACACTCCGGCACAGCGATGACCAACATAACATCACTGCCACAGGCTAATTTGCATATCACGCGACCGGACTTTTCTCTTGTTTGTAAACAAACGCGCATATTCATAATAAGAAGAGACTGGACTCACGAAAGCTTTTCGGCGCTCTCTTCATATTGTTTTACATTGTTACATATATATTCTTCCACAACTGCGACAGTAAGGTCTATGACAGTACATATTTAGATATCCAACTGGCTGCATCGTTTGCTCTCCATCAGCTTCGATGACAGCACGTGGAGCCGTACAACCTATGTAAACAGAGAATCGCTACGCAAATCGAAATAGTGTTACATGTTTTTGGATATTTTCTCAGTGAAACTAAACCATTCTACTAAAGATGTTTTGTTAGATGTGTACACTCGTCAAAATAAAAGAGTAAAAGAAATCTGTACATTATATTGAATGGACATTGCAAGATGTGACGAATCGTCACATTTTTCTGGCCTGTGGCAGAGGTACTATGCTGGCTTGCCGCATGGAACTCTGGGTAGGAGAGTGTGATCTCCCTTTACATAACATCCGGTAAGGATTCTTCACCGTGGTTTTGATATTTACTGGCTAAGAAAATAAAGATGTTTACCTGCAATCTTGTAAAACATGGACTTGCATGAGTCCGTGTCCACGGGCATCTTAATGTAGCGCTGTGCCAGGGGAACCAAAGCTCCGCAAAAGTCCCTAATTGACCGATACACCGACGATGCGGAAATGCTACGGTACGTATCGGCAGTAAGGGAACAAAACCCACCGGTCGTCAGAAACCGGAGAGAGACGAGCACCTGCGTGATAGGGCAGGGGGCAGCTCCTAGCGGTATCTCTCCTCAGCTGGCCAGCTACCAACGACACTATAAACAGGATGGTTTCAGGTCGGAAACGATAGCGAGCAAACACCGATTCCTCAGACATGGTTTCAAGAGGGTTGCTACGGTCGATTAACCCTCTCGCCACTCTAGACTTGTTTCTCCGACGGCGTTGTTGCCTTTTCCTTTACGCCATTTTCATCTCAAATAATGACTTAAGTTACCTACCAAGCAGACTCAAATATTTTGAGTTTTTAACTCAAGTTGAGTCGAAAAACAAACTCAGTTTTGTTTGAGAAATGCATTTTGCTGAGTTTTCTCAAATTTGAGTAAAAACCCAAACTTAAGTCTGAAAACAGTCTGCAATCTGGAACTTACCTGATTAACCAAACAAAAGGTAAGTTCATCTGGGAAAAGTAGATCCGAGTCAGTCGTGAACTTTTTCAAACTCTTTTCACTTTGATAGCATCTCCATGAACTTACAAAACCATAGTGATTATAGATGTCACTAAAATTCAAGGCTAGTGGGCGTATTTACAGTGGAGTAAGTCAGGATGACATTAAAGGGCGGCTCAAGAAGTGGGTGTACATGGTCAAAGGGAGATAACAATACCCTAAACTATCGTGTGCGTGAAGAAAATAATCTTGAGACGCTCCAGTTCGTTTTTAGCCAACCAGAAACGAGTAATGTGATTCCGCGGTAATTCAAATATATCAACATGCGGGACTTTCGCCTCAAGCTTGTTGTTGCTGTATGTAAGAATGGAGGTATCGGAAAAGATGGACAGTTACCGTGGAGGCTTAAGAGGGATATGGCTTTTTTCAAGTCCATTACATCAAGTTCAACCAATATCAACAAGCAAAACGTGGTTATCATGGGTCGCAAGACGTGGAATTCCATTCCCGCCAAGTTTCGCCCATTAAAAGACCGGATTAACATTGTGTTGAGCAGGACAATGGAGACAGTTCCAGAAAGCGTCGTACTGTCGAGGAGTCTGGAGGAAGCACTGGAGTACACAGAAAGAGAAGTGAAGGATAAGATAGATTCTGTGTTTGTGATTGGCGGCAGTTCTGTGTATAAGGAAGCCATTGAGGGTCCGTGGAGCACGAGAGTGTACCTCACGCGGGTGTTGGCGGAGTTTGAGTGTGATACTTTCATGCCTTCTCTGGAGGAGTTGAATTTCAAGAAGACCGAGGGTGTTGAAAACGTTCCTGAAGGTGTACACACAGATAATGGAACAGAGTTTGTGTTCGAAGTTTACGACAAGATTGTGTAGACAGTAATGCGATTGTTGAAGAAGCAGTCGTAAAATGACGCTCTCGACACGAAAAATATCTGTCTTCCATGGGACCAAATCAAAATATTAACGTTTTTCTGTGCCTTGTGATCGGGCAGTTTTACTCATGATATTTTTCACTTCTGCCCGAAATGAAACGTAATTTCAAATGACGATCGTTTGTAATTTCAATTGGGGTTTATTGGGGTTTTTTCAGGTATAATGTTGTGCGAGGGCGTATTTGGGTGGGGGGCGTTGTTGGGGGCGTGGCCCCCTCCCCACACCTTCAAATAATTAGCAAAATAAATAATCATTGAATTATATTGCTTTTGTGTTCATTATTTTGCGCCATTCTGCCCTTAGTTGCCACGATTTGAGCATAGTTACTTTCATGACTTTAGGGACCGGTCATAATATATGGCTAGGGGTTTTGTAAATTTTGTAAAATTTATGTGCAAAATAAGTGACCCCCCTGCATGTCATGTACAAAATCAATGACCCCACACCCATAATTTTTAACATGTTTAAACATACTTTTTGTACAAAATTGCTTTCTCTCCCCTACGTGTGTACAAAATTGATGACACCCCCTAGCTCCCCAAAACAAAATGGGTGACCCCCCTTACAATCATCACCATCCCCCCTAGCCATAAATTATGAACGGTCCCTTATAGAAATTGGGCACCCCTTCCTGTTGTGAAATACATACATATTTGGTAACTTCAGTGAATGGATGGCAGGTTATATTTGCATACCAATGTACAGAGTGTGTGTGCTTGGTCTTTTTTGGTTTTTTGTTGTTTTTTTATTTGTTTTATAGGTACTTATCATGCTTATTATATAAAATTCTGAAACATGGTGTAGACTTGATATATATGGCTAGAACATTGCCTAAATGATGGGATGTTTTACACTCTCCTGCACTTATGCTTATATTGAGCATGTTGAAGGCATGTATTCTGAGGTGTATGTGGTACTACACATGTAATAATGATCAGGATTTTAATCGGGAAGTTGTGGCACTCCCAGCTTTTACTTGTTATCATTTACATTCCGGAGGTCCAGAGCTGCAATATCATGCCCAGGGATGGGGGAAAACAGTATCAGGAATATTTTCCCACTTCCCACTCTCTTACTGTTCACAGCAGGCTAAAAAACCCAACTCACTTATGCAAATAGATCGTCGCATTAGATCCAGGATCCACTTTTGGTTTTACTGTGTTTTGTGTTTCAGTGTTTTGACATGTTATCTGAACAAATCAATGTACTTGCCCAGTCAGTGAGGAGGTTAGCTGTTTGAAACAAGGTGATAATAAGGATGAGATGGGAAGACTGGGTAACCAAGCTGATGTCATCATGTACCGATAGCATTGGGCGGTGCTTATGATTTCCATTCCTTGTTTGTCTCCATTAGACTATAAACATGATAAACATACTGCCTTCATATACAGATGGAATGTTACTCAACTTACTGTCTCAGTGTTAAACGACCGCCTCCGTGGTGTAGTGGTTAGAGCGTCCGCCTGGAGAGCGGAAGATTGCGGGTTCGACACCTAACCGCGGCATACCAAAAGACGTTAAAATATGGTACTTGTTGGTCCCTGCCTGGCGCTTGGCATTAATGGGTACAAGAAGGACTGGTCGGCTCAGAGTCAGTATAATGTGTCTGAGTGGGGTATTCATGCTTCACTGCGGCATGGTATCTCAGTGGGCTACCACTATAAAAAACAGCTTCAGTCAGGGCTAGTACAAGCAGCCGCACACACGCATGCACATCGTCATATGAGCGAAATATTCTCAAGCACGACGTTAAACCCAATTTCACCTCACCTCAGTGTTAAACAATGGATTTTCTAACAATACTCATTGTAAATGGATCATCGACATAAAATCTGGTGTGTGGCTATGGTGTTGAGGTCTTATAATAATCATAATTCTTTGCAGTAACCTTCAGGTAGGGGGGCTCGTTCACTTGCATGTTTAGATCGATGCTCATGATGTTGATCACGGTAATGTCTGGTCCAGACTTGATTATTTACAGTCAGTTTCGTTTTACGTCGCCCTCAGCAATATTCCAGCTATATGGCAGCAGTCTGTAAATAATAGACCAGACAATCCAGTGATCAACAGCATGAACATCATTACAATTTTGATACAATGACACGCCAACCAAGTCAGTGAGTCTGACCACCCAATCCCGTTACTCACCTCTTATGGACAAGAATGGGTTACTGAAGATCAATTTTAACCCGGATCTTCACAGGCCGAATATTTACAGACCACCCAGGAATATCGCAGAGTGTGATGTTAATCAAGAAACAATCCTTTAAGACTAGTCTAGGCGGGCCTGATCAACTAAATGTTCGTTGCACTATGTCATTTGTAAGCCTATGATAAAGTATAGTGTTATGATACTTCGTAATGCTTCGAACGCACTGATCTGTATCAGTGTATCTCATAGTGTTGGGAATTGGTTAAAATCTCATAATTGATGATTGGTTCATTACTACCGATCAGTCATCGAAAATAATTGGTTAGCGTCATTTATGAAATTTGTTAATGCACAAAAAAATAAGGTAAAAAACAAGTAGTTGTTTTGGATTTTTTGGGCAAAATTTCACATCTTTAAAGGATGACTAGTATGATAGGAACATAAATTTCTTGGAGCCTTAAGATCAATTCAATCGTGACTTGAAACGAGCTTGTAGTGCTTACGAAATATAACAGACAAAACCAACCATGTGAAAAATATTGTTAATGAAAACAAGTGTTCCAGAATAGTTTGTGTTCGATTATGAGAAATTGTGATCGATTGCTTGGTCGTTTAGTCACTGCGACCAGTCTTCGATTATTTCAATTAATCGGACCACCACTAGTATCTCACACATATAACAAACAATACTTTGAAGTGAAAATATTGCACTTTATTGTGCCAACAAGGGTATGTATATATATCATCAGGCCAAAACAAGATGGGCCCTGTCATGGAGAGCAATGTACAATAACTGACAAACAATACAGTTTGCAGGTTAATTGGTGAAGGAACATTTCTTCAACACTTAGCTGCAAAGCCCATGTAAACATGCCGTTCAACTTTCATTCCAGAAATCATATCGACAATCTCATAATCACCTCCCTTTCAATGATTGTAACTTGCTTTCCAATTCTAAGGGGTAGTCTCCCTTTGCTATGGGTTGTTTCACATGGAGCGTATCTCATCAGTAGAGATGGTGTCTTCTGGGGAGTTGTCTCCCTTGAATTGCGAAGTCTCCATATTCCTCACCAAGCATATCATGCATGTATCTTTCAACAAGTAGAACACACAAGTTAATTTTACAAATGTTCCCAAACCATTTTAAGATGCAAGTGTAATAAAAAAAAGAGCAGGAACATGTGTACAGTGTTTATGAGGAAAAACAAGGGCATTACAGTGTCAGATGACAACAAACACTACAACCTGTCACCTGGGGGTAGCCATCTACAAAGTGGACACGCCATCTAACAATGAAGATGCTGCAATACCTGCTCTACTGAACCAAACTATACCACAGCCTTCGCTGATAATTAACCACCAATGAAGGAAAATCTGTCCTAGTAAAGCCCAAAACTGAATCAATGGCTTCCAGAATGATAACATCATATTATGGTCAGCAGGTTTTTTCTATATACCTAAGAAGAAAAGCCTGACAAAGAGCTGTGCTACTCTTTTGAAGTTTGTTTCCTTAGTAATCCTGATTGACATGTTATATAAGAAATTGATAGTTCATCTGAAATGTTGATAAAATGATTGGTCCCTTAACAATTTGTATGACTGTTAGCAGTGTAGGAAAGATGTAGAAAATCTAGCCTGTCCACAGGACTGGCTGGTCAAGTTTTTTACCAGTCCTGCCAAAATCTAGCCTGTCCTCCAAATATAAATAAAACACCATTTCAAGACTTAAAACTGGTTTATTTTATTTTAAGGTATAATTTAATATGCACACACAGAGCTTGGACTGTTAAATCTCTCCTAGTGGAATCATCTGATTATTCTAGTATCCTTTGGCAGTAAATATTCAAAAAGGTTATAATATAATAATGATTATGTCATTGCTTTGCTAAAACTGACCCGACATGAGGACGGACCAGATGTTTTTTTAACCCGTCCTCCACAAAATTCACCCGTCTCGGGCGTTGGGACGGGCTATCTTTCCTACACTGCTGTTAGAATTTCAATGAGAGCATCATAGACTGCTGTTTCTCTCCAAGTGATCATATTAATGCAAATGAACCATGGGGATTTTGAGCACTAAGATACACTCAAACTCAACCTTGACAGTTTCTGTCAGTCGATAGTCCATCTGAACATTATCCATGTCAATGTGTATGTCCAATCTCTAGAGTGAACCTGTGTTGGCTATATTGTGTGTTTCCATGGTTACAGCAGATGAGGAAATAATAGATCATGCTATTGATGAAACAGCTTCGTCTTCAGCAGAAAGCAGCTTTACAAGATTATATTATTTTATTGTTTGCAGTTAATAGTATTTCACCAAGCAAGCAGTGCATACTGTGTAATATACGTTCATGCAATAAACAAGCTAGAAGTCAAACATGTAAAAAATTGTGAACAAAATACCGAAACCAAGGGTTATTCCTATTGTCCTTGCTGTTAAATTCTAAAATAGTCAACAGTTCCAATAATAAATTTCTAAAATGGAATGATGAATAACCCATATTGGCCCCAGCAGAAACAGATTGTCATAGAAGGATTGATGAAAATGTTGAAAAACATATCTAACAAGCATGCAACGTGGGTCTCTGCACGTCAAACCCTGTTCTATTTATAAGTGTTTGAATAAATGGTGAGTTAACGTAACGGGAGAGACATGATCAAAACAGCTGTACATAATATGTGAGGTATATGACTCAAGATGATAAAATATTTCAGAAGACACATCTTGCCAAGAAGTTATATCACAGTGCTTTGGAGACTTGAAGCCGAGAAGCAGGATTGGAAACAGTGTTAATTAACATTGAGTGAGTGATTATGGGTTTACACCACTTTTAGCAATATTCCAGCAATAACATGGCCGGGGGACACCAGAAATGGGCTTCACACCTTGTACCCATGTGGGGAATTGAACCTGGGTCTTCGGCATGACGAGCAAACACTTTAACCACTAGGCTACCCCACCGCCTCTAATTAACATTGAAATGAGTGTGTAGTAATGGATCAGATGAAGGAGAAATAACATGTTATGTCTTTGAAATATCAGCTATAATTAATGCAAATATTTGTATTAATCAGATGGAGGTTATGATATTAATACCCGATTCCTACATGTATTCCAATATTATGTTGTGATTCAATATTCATTCTGAAAGAAGGAATATGAAAATGTCTGTTAAGCTTAGGTCGAGACATTTGTGTGAAACTGAGAGGTGATCATGTGACTTGGGTGTTAATTGCTGATTGATATACATAATGGAACTACAGTTGTCTGATGTTGCAACATCCTACCATATTACCCTGGTGCTCAGAAAATTGACAAATCGGGTGTTAATTAAAACCGAAAATAACACGATAAAGTTGTGGAAGTCAAGTGGCAGTGAAAATAGTCAGTTCAAATGATTAAACTAAAGCCCTTGTGATAATCATCACTACATATGATATACCTTCTGTGATGGTGTTTTGTGTAAACTATCTCAAACATGAAAAATGAAAATATGGGCTTGCTTGTTAATTTTTGGTCTTGGTAGGTACCTAGAGACTGGTTAAGAGAGAGTTTTACACTGCTTTTAGCAATACTCCAGCAATATCATGGCGGTGGACACCAGATATGAGTTTCTCACATTGTACCCATGTGGGGAATCGAACCCGGGTCTTCAGTGTGATGAGCGACTACTTAACCACTAGGCTACCCCAACGCCCCTGATTGGTTAAGAAGTTGGTCAGGGTGGTAACTGGGTCTGGGTGCCAGGTACAGGGTGCCTAGTACAGGTAATATGGTAATTCACACTTGTAAGAACATGTCCCTTTAAGATCAATATATTTTCAATGTTCACAGGACAAAAGTACAGAAAAATTACATAAGGTTTAACAGATTCAGCAAATTATAGGAAGAAAATGGACTTGAAACAGATTTATTTAATATGAGCAGAAAATATAGATAATGAAATACAGAGAGCAAGGAAGAAAGAAGGCATTTCAATGAGGAAATGCAACAAAAAAATGCAAAATGCAAGAAGAAAATGGACTTGAAACAGAATTACTCAATATAACACAATAGTAGCAGTGATACATAGCTGTGATAGTGAGCAAGGATTGTCAGGTGAGGGAGGGGACGTTACACAGAGGATAGGACTGAGAGGAGATGGAGAAAATGAGACCTGTATGTACGATGTAGGACAAGACAGACCGAGGAGAGGGGCCGTTACACAGAGGTTAGGGCTGAGAGGAGATGGAGAAAATGAGACCTGTATGTACGATGTAGGACAAGACAGACCGAGGAGAGGGGCCGTTACACAGAGGATAGGACTGAGAGGAGATGGAGAAAATGAGACCTGTATGTACGATGTAGGACAAGACAGACCGAGGAGAGGGGACATTACACAGAGGATAGGGCTGAGAGGAGATGGAGAAAATGAGACCTGTATGTACGATGTAGGACAAGACAGACCGAGGAGAGGGGACATTACACAGAGGATAGGGCTGAGAGGAGATGGAGAAAATGAAACCTGTATGTACGATGTAGGACAAGACAGACCGAGGAGAGGGGACGTTACACAGAGGATAGGACTGAGAGGAGATGGAGAAAATCAGGTATGGAGGACAAGACAGACCGAGGAGAGGGGATGTTACACAGAGGATAGGGCTGAGAGGAGATGGAGAAAATCAGGTATGGAGGACAAGTCAGACAGACTGAAACACTGCAGGAACTGTCACTTCACAGGTTTGATTAAACACTTGTAAAGCATTAACACTGCAATACAGAGGAAACTGTCAAATGCTAAATAGAAACGGAATTCAATTTTCAATTTGTCCCAATTCGCAAGAAAAGTGTCCGAAAAAGCCAATTTCACACTGAAAATCATCATGGTGTATTGTGGACAGTCATACAATCTACCAGTGCAAAAATACAAACACATAATCTTTCATATAAAGTTGACAATTCAGTGATAAAAGGGTAAGAAACGTAGCAAAGACTGCACCTGTTTTAAATATATAATTGTACAGATTGAGCAAATAGGTGTGAATATTTACATTCTCATTTTCACAATATGTACAATCTGAAATGACTGACTGACAGGGCAATAACAAACAGATTATTTATTTGTTGTAAATGAAAATGAAACCATATTTATTACACAATATTTGTTGGGGGTGATTTTAATTCTAGGACCTAACATAATCATGTGTAGTCTTCTAATAACACTGTTCCAGGGTGGGACCTTCAACAATTTTTCAAAATAGAATACAGTAACACAACATGACGTACCCCTAATATCTCACAGGAGTGAGTGAGTTGGGTTTTACGCCACTTTTAGCAATATTCCAGCAATATCAGGGCGGAGGACACCAGAAATGGGCTTCACACATTGTACCCATGTGGGGAATCGAACCCGGGTTTTCAGCGTGTCGGGCGAACACCTTAACCACAAGGCTACCCCACCGCCCCTATTTCCCAGGAGAGGCACTATTAAACATAACTTTGGAGGTGAGGTGAGGTGAAATTGGGTTTAACGTCGTGCTGGAGAATATTTCGCTCATATGACGACGTGCAAGCGTGTGTATGTGTATGTGCGGCTGCTTGTACTAGCCCAGACTTAAGCTGGTTTTATAGTGCTAGCCCACTGAGATACCGTGCCGCAGTGAAGCATGAATGCCCCACTCAGACACATTATACGGACTCCGAGCCGACCAGTCCCTGCTGTACCCATTATGCCGAGCGCCAGGCAGGGACCAACAAGTACCATATTTTAACGTCTTTTGGTATGACGCGGTCGGAGATCGAACCCGCGACCTTCCGCTCTCCGGGCAGACGCTCTAACCACTGCACCACGGAGGCGGTCCCATAACTTTGGACAATAAGAAGTACATGAATCAACAACATGAACTTTCAATAATAACTCCAATCGAAAGTTGTTGTCATTTGTAAATACATGTATATAATATAAGCTACTATTTTCCTTAAAACAAATAATCAGTATATTATTGCCTGACTGTCAATATAAGTCCATTCCATAGTGGCACAACCATGTACTCTGGACATTAGTGACACATTAAGCTGATGTATGTTGACAATTAACTGAAATATGTAAAGCTGTTTCTTGCATCAGTGTCCAAAACTTAAGCCTGCTGAGTAGCAGGTCTCGATGTCTTGAATCAGATCCTGTCAAACAAGTTGCAAGGACAACAGTGACTGCAAATAAGCACTCACATATCATACACTGGAATGTCTGCAAATCTTAGCACTCTGGCGATCCTTGGATCTCATGCTCAAATAATCAGCAATAGCCACAATAAATAACTTATCAAGATTTTCATCCAGTTTGTTAAAAATAGTAGTCAGTAGATATTGTTTTATGTTTATATTTTTCAACAACCTCTTGGAGGCATCTGTGTACACCAAATGCCACGTGTGATTCACACTAAGCATGGTGGTTTCATTTATGCAGTCAGAAGCGACCCACATAGTGAACTTGTTCGTCTGTAAGTACTTGGGGACAAACAGAAGCAAGGGAGTTGTTTGGTTTGAGGATGAATGTCTAATAATTAGCTTATTGTGGCTAATTCCCAATTTGACACAAGCAATGTCCTGTTATCACACCCAGTGCTGGTCAGAATTCTGCTGGAGCAAGAAGCTGGCATTGTCTCAAACAATAACATTTAAGGAGTTTGACTTAATAAGCTTTCACTGTATATTTTTTGCTCTTAAACACTTAAAACATGAAGCAAAACAAACAGACAAAATTCAATACATAAATTACTCATTCATTTCTTCCTTCACAAAAGTTAAATACTTGTGACAAACAAACACTTCCCAAACTGGAAATGATTCTAGGTTTGTATTTTTGCCAAAATGTATTTTAACGTCAAATCTGAGAACAGAAAAACATGTTTTGTAATACTTCAAAACCATCGTTCTTAATATCTAGCCTAGAAAACAGGCACCTGTTCCTTAATTACCAATCAAGTCCAGCATGGAGTCATCACAGCACCAGCTTGGACACATCGTAACAGTCATTTACAACATGGGTGGGATTTCTTGGTTTCAAAAGAAAAAATTAACTTCAAAGATTTAAGTATTTCTGAACGTAAAGGAAAAAAATGGAAAAAAATCATTAAAGGCACAGTGAAAAGAAGGAAAATTTGAAGAGGAAAAAAATATTTTTTTGAACTTTTTAATTTGCTACTGAAGTGGAAAGTGGATAGTGACCACTTTCAAATATGACAAGAAGATATCTGAGATCACTTTCTCCACAGCTGTCTGACCTCCATTTTCTCAAGGTCATCCACAACGTATTCCATTACGAGGTAATAAATGTTAGATATCTTCAGGAACAAAATCAGTACAAGTGTGTGTGCCTTTCATACAAGGGATATGAAAAAAGCAATATGTAATCAACACAAACAGGAGTGGTTCAGGTGGATTGTATAAATGAGAACCTAATGTGTTAAGATTGGTTGGCTGGAGCATCACACGGTGTTCTCCGGGAGAGTTATCTCCACGTTCTCTGGGGCTGCATCTGCTTCATCCTCTTCCTTTCCCGCAGCCATCTACAAACACACAGCATCAGAGTGACTTAAAGTACTCACAGAATTAGAAATATACTGGACAAAATAAGTTAGGGATTTTGGTATTTTTTAATTGATATTTTATCAGTGTGTCAATGAATAAATATATCATTATTCATAATTTCAAAATTTACGTATATCCCTAACTATTTTTGTCCAGTATATAATGATTTTTGGCGTTTATTTGTTTATTACTACGCCTTTTAATTTGGTCCTCTAATCATTATCCATAATAGCATTTTTCAGCTAAAAATAACAAAAATTTGCATATTATCAACAAGTTTAGAAACATATTATAACTTCCGTCACAATCAACCATGGGTGGTAACAACTACCTGCAGCACTGTTTAGACGGGAAGATGCATTGGCATGTGTGTTGCCATAGTGACTGTGCAATTGACAAAGCTATGAATGAACTTGTGAAAACAGTAAACTTTCACCAAGAGTACAGGTTCTATGACAATTGATAATGCTGTGCTATGTCTGTCTGTCAACTAGCAGGATTGATACCCACTGGTTGGCTGATATTAGCTAAAACAAGACGATTATCCATGCAAGAGGTTTAAAAACAATTTATGGCTATGTGTTACGCCTTCTGACAGGATTGAGGCAGTTAGTTGACTTAAATTAGCTAAAACTAGAAAATGAGTCATGCAAAAGGTTTTAAACAATGACCCTGTTCCATGTGTGTGTGCCTAACTATTGATTAGCTGGCTGATATTAGCTAAAACAAGACAATTAGCCATGCAAGAGGTTTTAAAACAATGAACAATGCTTTGTTCAGCCTACCATCAAGATCGTGGCTGTGTCAGCTAGGGCTTGTTTGGCCAGGTATCGCTCTCTCTTGATCTTGAGTTCCAGAGCTTCAGGCACGTCTGGCACCAGGATGTCGATCATCCGGCAGATACCAAACACCACATGCTGGAACACAGGAGTTATATATCAACAGTGATTCCAATATCCATCTCCACATTCCACACTGCAAATAGGCAGACATATGTCTACCGATATGTAGAACTATGAGGGCACCAGTTACAATAATCTTCAAGTGTGAGCTGGTTTTTACGCTGCTTTTAAGCAATATACCAGCACTTTCATGGCAGGGATACCAGCAATGGGCTTCACACATTGTAATCATGCAGGGAATAGAACCCGGGCCCTCGGCATGACCAGTGAATGCTTTAACCACTAGGCTATCCTACTGCCCCTCCAAGATCCAAGTAATCTTCGATGGAGATTTGCGGTCTGTATTTAGAACAATTAACTGTTTCTTAGATATGTATGTTTTCAACCAAGACTATCAAATCTTTGGCCTACCTGACTCAAGAAAGGTGTTACGGTGCATTCCCTTGCTTTAGGTTTGCCCATTTACCATACATCCACTTTTTCTTGAGTGAGTGAGTTTAATTTTACGCCGCTTTTAGCAATATTCCAGCAATATCACAGCGGAGGACATCAGAAATGGGCTTCACACATTGTACCCATGTGGGGAATCGAACCTGGCTCTTCAGCATGACAAGCGGACGCTTTAACCACTTGGCTACCCCACCGCTCCCATCCATTTAAAACCTAATGATGGTGGTATATAGGTAACCACAATCCGCAGAGTGTAACAATTTAGTACAACACATAATTGATTATTTGTACAATTATAAAATATTCAACATAAGGATAAGATGTTCATCTCAAAGAAAACTACATCATGTCGGTGACATGCACCAATTCACAAATTTGATTTTCCCAAAATAAACCTGAAACACAGTTCCAGGTGTTTTCGTCCCATTACACATGCGTGACTTACCTCAAAAAGGATGACAAATCCCAGCTTGACAGCCAGTAGCCTCCAGTAAAATAATGAATACTCCCCATTGGGGTCTCGGAAGTCTTTGTATCTAGTGGTAAAATACAACACATTAATGCAGGACCCTGCTTCATAAGGGACCAACCATTTAATTGTTTTGGAGGACATCAGAAAGTTAAAAAAAATCATAAAAATTCTGGATGATTTACTCGATGATAACTGCTGGATATCCAACAGATTGTGTCCATTGTTTTATGTTTGTGTAGTAGCATGTTAGTATGTCTTGTGTATGAAAGAGTCTGCCCCTAAGGGACCGTTCATAATTTATGGCTGGGGGGATAATGATGATTTTTATGGAGAAGCATGTACAATGTGAATGACCCCCCCCTAAAATTTATGTACAAAATAAGTGACCCCCCTGCATGCCATGTACAAAATCAATGACCCCCCTCCCCTTCCCATAATTTCTAAGCCTAATTGTAAACATACTTTTATGTACAAAATTGCTGACCCCACCTAGTACGTGTGTACAAAATTGATGACCCCCTAGCTCCACAGAACAAAGTGAGTGAAACACACACCCCTAAAATCATCATCACCCCCTCCCCAAATACACTGCCATGAAGAAGCTGATGGAACATGAAAACCTACAGATTCAATATACAGAGTGTGAACAAATATCAATTCACACACTGCAAAAATACTACTTACCTTACAACTGTGTGAATGAGTTAGGAATGTGGTATAAACAATCACTCACGTTTCATTTAATAAACAGAATATGTTTGCACGACCAGATATTTTATGAAGAAGTTAATTGTTCAAATACATACAAGTCCATCTGGTAAGAATGAAACAGACCATTTCAAAGGCACTGTACAATAATGTAGATGAAATATATGTCCATGTTTATATAATATGGGTTTATATAATATCTAACATGGATAATTTGCCTCACAACTGACATGACAAAATGAAATAGTGAGTGAGATTAGTTTTACGCCGCACTCAGCAATATTCCAGCTAAATGGCGGCCGTCTGTAAATAATCAAGTTTGGACCAGACAATCCCGTGATCAACAGCATGAGCATCGATCTATACAATTGGGAACCGATGACATGTGTCAACCAACTCTGCAATTCTGACCACCCGATCCCGTTAGTCGCCTCTTACGACAAGCATGGGTTAGTGAAGATCAATTCCATCCCGGATCTTCACGGGTCCAAAATGAAATAAAAAACATGATACAAGAAAACAAATTAAACAAGTTCATGAAAATGAAAAGAATTTATAGAATACTTTTACTGTACTTGTAATGAGATTAATTTAAGATACTCTCTTTGTAATTTGGCTTCATCTAACTTCACAATAAGAGTATGCATGTCAGAGAACTGTCTTAATAAAGCTCTCGGAATCAATGCAAAATAAAACATCCTGACTTGCTAATAAAGTCGTAAAACAAGAAGAGAAATTGTGATTTGAATGAATCAACTGTAAAATACTAAAAAAACTGAGAAAATTCATGTCCTGATAAATCTGGAGAAAATGGGCAGCTTAAGGAAGAACTGACAGGGATGAACGAAATGATTGGATTTGTAAAAACATGATGTGGGAATTGAAATAGGGATCAGCAAATGTAAAATCGTTAACTCTGCAAGAGATGCAGACTGACAAAACGTGTCAGGAAGATATTTCAAAATTAATCTGAGTGACCATGAAAGCAGAATTGCTCCCAATAGATTTGTAAGGTTCCCAAACAGGCCACCACAAAATACAGGAAATGAGAAGCTAATCTAGTTTCAGATTTGAAAAATCAAGAATGTCCAGAAAATAATTAGACTAGATTTTTCTGAAGGGTCTTGGTGTGTGGACACAAGTAAAAGAGTTCACTGTTTGTTTCCCAGTGTCTTCTCAGCACTAAGTTAATCAAACCTCCCTAACATATAGGTGTACGATCGTAACACATGTACTAAGATTATCTGCGAGATGGGGCCCCAGTTTCCCTCATTTTGAGGAGTTCATGTAGGTCGTCGCCATACCTGTCAACCCAAAATGGGTCCAAGACTCGAGAACCATTAAAAGTGGTCCAGGGGCCCAACAGAATTTTTTATTTTTTATTGTTATTTGAGGTTAAAACATCATCTAGCAATATTTAGAAAGCACTTTTACGAAAAAATGTGAGATTTAGTATACTGGCCGGGAGAACGTGACTTCCATTAATAGAATGTAGGAATCACGGTAAATACGTGAGAGTTGACAGGTATCCATTACAGTCTGTTGCAAATGCATTTCAGACTAGCAGTTGGCTCTTAGCTTCATTGTCAAGCATCTAGTGTTACTTAGTGGAGTGTTATTGGCTGACTTCACAAGACCGAACAGAATTTAACTGACTCAGTTTGGTCAAGAGCCTAAAGTCACAGACATCTATTAATCCTTTCTTATAATGAAATAATATTTTGTATGGTTTTAAAATTGACGGTTTTCATATTTCATGGTTTTTTTCATTTTCGCAGGATTGAAACTGACAATTAATGCCCTGAATCTACAACAGACGTAGTCTGGAAGCCAGGGCTTATCACTGACATCACGGCAGTAGTTATGGTCTTGAGCTAATCAATGAAGATTAAGCATTTCAATTGACGGTAAGTGTTAAAGGTATGGAAACAGAATGGTATGAAATTGGAAGACGGAGCAATTCCTGACAGAAGGCAAGGCTCTGTTTGTGTATGTTTCCCAGCTCAGCTAAACTATGACGAAAGATTTAGTAGAAAATAATCTGCCACCTCCGAACTTAAAGACTTCTACCTGCACTGCTGTTTGAGAGTGCCTGGTGGTGCATCAGACAAGGTGAAATTTGTGTATCCTTTCAATGTCCAGCTATACTCATACCGATATAGGAGTTTTGGTAGGAACTCGGACGTGAACGCGATTAGGAACGCCTGTAAAAGACAATGGGATGGTCAGTATTGTCTGTACCTGCATGTTTCAAGCATTGTTCCATTTGGCGACGTCGACAGTGTAAAATTGGTGTAGCCATTGAGAGACCAGTTGTACTCGTACTGATAAAGTAATCGTGGCAGGAACTCGGACGTGAAAGCTATGAGGAAGGCCTGCAAGTAATGAACAAATTACATACATCAATATTTCCTAAATAGCAGGTAGCATAACAGGAACGACAATTGAATTATCATGTCTATTGATGTTTGACAGAAAGTTTCCTATTATGATTTACACATTTTGTTTGCTCACCTCATACAATGTGACACAGTTTTGCCAGGGCACAATTGCAATTATGCTACGCACATGGAAAATACTATTTTACTTGGCCATTATTTCATGTTATGTATAACGTGGGCGTCTCATAACACGGGGGCATCCATGAACCCCAAGATCAGCATTACGGTAAGTGATAACTGTAGTGACACATGCATAAAAAACAAACTTTTCTTAAACCAACAGATATCCATATATTATCACATTCGTTTTGTAAATAAAGGGACAATGATAGGTACATGTACAGGAATTGTTAATTGTCTTTCTGGCAAGAGAAAATTCTCACTTCAGATATTTACCATACATAAAATTGTTATCACTACTCTGCTAATTTGCTAATTTCTTCAATATTTTCTCTGAAATAATATGTGTATCATATTAAGTTAAAATGGAAAGTAAATATGTTATTCAATGAAGTTTTTCTCAGTTTTTAGTAATCCTGAAGAAGTACTTGATGACAACAAGTCCCCTCAATACCAGTCCTGCCAGACATCCTCGCTGTAATCAAACTGTGTAAAATACAATGTATATTATCATTAAAGTTTTCCACCTGCTGTCATGTATTCATGGTTATTCCTGCATCAAAGCTAGCAACACAACTCATTCATCAGACAAGGTACATTATGTATATTGTCCATGTCTACAAGGACAAAATTATGTCAGTATTATCTGTATTATTAAGAGAGAAACAGGCAGAAAACAGAGTAGTTATACCACTCAAAACAAGTTAAGGATAGCGATTATTAGAAGGCTGCATTGCAATACCAACCAGCCGCACTCAGCAATATTCCAGCTATATGGCGGCGTCTGTAAATAATCGAGTCTGGACCAGACAATCCAGTGATCAACAGCATGAGCATCGATCTGCACAATTGGGAACCGATGACATGTGTCAACCAAGTCAGCGACCCTGACCACCCGTTAGTCGCCTTTTACGACAAGCATAGTCGCCTTTTGTGGGTTGCTGAAGACCTATTCTACCCCGGATCTTCACGGGTCCAGCCGTAAGAGATCAACCACAGTTACATATAAGAGCTGGGTTTTCTTAAGCTTCTTATTAGTATAACATATTTGCTTATAAGTGAGTGAGTTTAGTATTACTCTACTTTTAGCAATATTCCAGCAATATCACGGCAGGGGACACCAGAAATGGGCTTCACACATTGTACCCATGTGGGGAATCAAACCCGGGTCTTCGGCGTGATGAGCGAACGCTTTAACCACTTGGCTACCCCACCGCCCCTGTTTGCATACGACTTTAGGATTACATGGTGTCATATATTCATGACAGTTTCTTACGCAGAGCATAATACTTGTTACGGTTATTTGTTTTCCGAAGACAGGATAGACTACATACATTGCTGATGACTGCTAGCTGTGCTAGGGCGTCGAGGATCTGGAACCACACCCCAATGTCCTCCGCACGCTCCGCTACAGGGCGGCGTGTCTCACTCACAAACTTGTTGGCATCGAGGCGTATCTCGACCCAGTTGTTGAGGAGGGCGAACAGTGGCGCCAATGGGAAGGCAGCGACAAAGATGGTGATGAAGCCAAACTGGAGGACTGGAAGACCAGGACAAAAACACATAAGTTGAACAGAACTTTGCTTGTCATTCTCAGTTGGTTAATAATGACATCTCAGCCATTTCAAGATGCTCTTATAACTGTCCCTTAGTATGAGGAGTTAATATCTCTTTTTCCACCCCCACAAACTATCCTCTATTACTTCAGGAACAGCCTTTCATTTTTGATGAATTAATACTTCTCTGCCCACCGAACAACTAACCACTTTCCACATTCTCATGAAACAGCCTTTAATAATAATAATAATAATATAATAATAATAATAATACTTTATTGCCCGACAAAGGAATTCCGTTTACAACAGTGATGCATACAGCATGGTTAAAACAAGTTAAGCAAAGAACAACGATCACTTTAAACACACAGATAAACAGGATGAGAAGGATAACCAGTGTATACTGTAAGAGACTAGTAGTCAAATACATATAAAATTGTGTCTGGGTCTAACATTCATTTAAAAGTCTAATGCTAACAGGTATAAAAGATGTTTGGGACCTTTTTGAGCGAACTTTAGGTACGAGGAATTTACGTCCAGATGGTAAAAGTTTAAAACAAGAATGTAAATCGTGAGACGGGTCGGATAAATTTTTTTTTTTTTTTTCATTTTTGATGAATTAATACCTCTCTGCCCACCCAACAACTAACCACTTTCTCATGGAACAGGCTTTTATTTTTGTTGAGTTCATATCTCTTTACTTCTTGATAACTTATATCTCTCTATCCTACCCACATACAACTCACCCATCTCCAGATACTCCTGGAACAGTCCTTCATTCTCAATGAGTCTATAATCCTCCTCCCAGCGAGTCTGCATGGCGCTGCTGTCTATTCTTGCCTTAAACCGATGCCAGCATGTTTTCAGTTTCCTGCAGAGAGAAGAAACAATAATGTATATAAGACACAAGACACAGAATCCCAGGAATGGGATGAGGACAATCCTTACCAACAGAATCCCAGGGATGGGATGAGGACAATCCTTACCAACAGAACCCCAGGGATGGGACAAGGGCAGTCCTTAGCCACAGAACCCCAGGGATGGGATGAGGACAGTCCTCAGCCACAAATCCCAGGGATGGGACAAGGACAGTCCTTAGCCACAGAATCCCAGGGATGGGATGAGGACAGTCCTCAGCCACAGAATCCCAGGGATGGGACAAGGACAGTCCTTAGCCACAGAATCCCAGGGATGGGATGGGATGAGGACAATCCTTACCAACAGAATCCCAGGGATGGGATGAGGACAGTCCTCAGCCACAGAATCCCAAGAAAGGGATGAGGACAGTCCTTAGCCACAGAATCCCAGGGATGGGATGAGGACAGTCCTTAGCCACAGAATCCCAGGGATCGGATGAGGAGTCCTTAGACTGACTGCACCATTGTAAGAAATCTACTCCCAAATAATAGTCTGTAAACCGATGACCCTACTTACGGCACTAAAACTTCCTGTGCGTTGTTTATGATCTGTTTACCAATCATGATGACACCCAGCTGCTGGGCCAGCTCAATCAAACAACCTCCATTGTTACACTGTAACAGAAACATCCTTTCTATAACATGGTGTACACTCATATACCATCATGTGACCTGTGGACTCATCATTCATAGTTTTATTATCATTTAGAAATTAAAGACTTAAAGACTTAAGACTGCAATAGCTGACTACCTTTTCAACTGCTTCGTGACACCTTTGAAAGTTATATCATCATTTCCTTGCACTTATCTGATTGGTTGGTTTGTTCTTTAACACCGCACTCAGCAATATTCCAGCTATATGGCGGCGGTCTGTAAATAATCAAGTCTGGACCAGTGATCAACATCATGAGCATCGATCTGCGCAATTGGGATACGATGACATGGGTCAACCAAGTCAGCAAGCCTGACCACCCGATCCCGTTAGATGCCCTAAGGACAAGCATGGGGTGGCGGATTGCCAATTCCAAACTGGACCTTCCCAGGTATGGAAGCCATTAATGATCTTCACACTTATACACTAAGATAAAAACATTTTTTTCTGAAAATTATATTGTAACTTTAATTTGTTTCTTGAGCTATAATCATACCATTACATCAACTGCAATTAGTCTCTTGATTAAATGAACAGGTTTATAATTGCTTGTACTAATCAACAAAAGGACGTTTCCGAGTTTCTGGTTTTACCTCTTCACTCCTCAAGCCAAACAACCTGCTGTAATGGCCAGGGTAACCAACAAATCTGAAAACAAAATGAAACATATATTTATCTGAGAGACTATTCTGCCTCTCACAACAAAAAGGATACATGGTGATACTACCATCACTTATCACCTAACTTTAACTCAGGTTAAAGGAACGCACAACTAAAATCAAGCCAAATCTTAAAGGAAGGCTCTGTCCCACATATACACCTAGCCATTGTAAGCAGACAAACATAGAACTTGTCTCCATGTCACTTGGTACATTTCAAACATCTTGAACCAGCCACAGAGGCCCAGATAAGCTGCGTATCCGGGTAAAATACACATAGAAAATTTCCAATTACGCATTTAAAAAATAATTGTTGCGTACCAATTACGCATTTAAAATGTTAGATACGCGAAAAGTTTAAAACAAATGCGTACGGAATATATTTATAAAAATCGCTTGCGTAATGAAAAAGACATCGATTGCTATCAAGTTGTACTGTTAGTATAGGACAAGTGTTGTACTGTCAGTATAGGATGAGTGATTTTTTATGAAATCATTTCCATTATATTAAAGTTGGTTTTGATTAGGTACGACATAAGGCAGAACATACCTGCTTAGTAAACTTACTCAATGACATAATACTTAGCAGAGTAAAATGACTGAAATACGCACATATTTGAAAGCAGTGGGTAATGGAAAATGAAATACCCACTCAACATTCATAATACCCACTCCAAAAAATGACAGTGGGTACAGTACCCACATTAGCTAAATCTTATCTGGAGCTCTGCAGCCACACAATCTACTGTTATTTAAGGGACATGCAGGAAATTGGCTGGAACTCCCAATCATTGTATGATTTCTTCCATGCTTGAACTATCAATTTGAAGGACTTAAGGCTATGGCAGTTCAAGCTCTTTTCGAGGCAAAATGTTAGACTCTACTGTGCTGTCAAACAGACGTATTTGGATACGTATCATTAATTTATTTCTTTTTACACACCAATATTCATCATCATAACGTATTGGTTTAGGTTGGGGGCTGATCTTTTCTTACATCACATCATGAACACTTATTATTATTTTTTATACTCAGTTCACTGTTCAATAAATACAAAGTCTTCTAAAACTAGCGGATCTATTTTGCTATAGACAAATCACATGGAGACATGTTTATGATTTTATCGACTGTTCCTTGGAAGTTCTTTTATATCATCACCAGATTTGAATCAAGACTTCAGGACAAGTTGGATCACGTTGAATCAACGTCATACACAGTGGGCCAGTCTGAGGCCCCGAGACACACCGTCTTACCTTCCTTTGAAGAACGCTATATAGATGATGGAGGAGTAGAAATTGACGAATTGGAAAATGAACACTTTAAATGTCAGCTGGTCTTCAAATTCACTCTGGGTTCGATGCATCTCTGCAAACATCAAAGAACGATATTGATGTGTTGATAGTCGATTTTTCATCGAGTTTCTTTGGAGCTCTTTGATAATGCAATCTTTATAGATGCACTAATTATGGAGGTGCCAACACTGATTTAGTTTATTTGACAAACAGAGACAGAGTCAACAAAGTTAGATCATCAATTTAACATTTTACACTTGGCAAAAACACATGTTGGATGAAAGATGAGAATGTAACAGACGTTTGATATTCTGGGGAAAAACACAAAAGGTTTTAAAAAATTGTTCCTGGAAATTCTGACAATGTAGCTCACCTTAATCTGAGGCCAACTGTTTCGAATGTCAATAAAGGCACCAGCTTAACATATTTTGCTGTCAGAATTGTGTTTCAATTATTTTCTGCATGAACACTGATGACTACAAACTAACATTAAAATCTAACAATCTGAACATAATATGATCGAGGGGAAAGCTGAGCTGGACACTGGTGCTATGCAAATATTAGCATAATAATATGATGATGAGGATGATGAAATAAGATGAAATAAGTTTGGCTCCCTCAGCAAAATGTGGAATATATGTGTTCAGTAAGTTTAGTTTTACACTGCTTTTAGCAATATTTCAGCAATATCACAGTGGGGGACACCTGAAATGGGATTCACACTTTGAACCCATGTGGGAATCAATCCAAATCCCACGTGAGCGCATTGAACAGCTAGCTTATCCCACCTCAACAAATATGTCTGGAAACATACCAAATTTTGTTACAGTAGGACTGACTGACTGACTGACTGAGTTTGGTTTTACGCTGCTTTTAGCAATATTCCAGCAACATCACGGCGGGGGACACCAGAAATGGGCTTCACACAATGTACCCATGTGGGGATTCGAACCCAGGTTTTCGGCGTGACGAGCCAACGCTTTAACCACTAGGCTACCCCACCGCCCCCGTTACAGTAGGAACAAAAAAGGCAGACTAAAGGCCTCGAGGAGGTTCTTCAAAATAGCTGGTGTCACAGATAAGATCCATTAGAACACAGTGGTGTGCATCAGTGCTGAACTTACAGTGTCTGGGGTCACAGTCTTTATAAAGAGAATAAATGAAAATTCAGAGAAATCTGGAGTATGATCAAAGTGTAAAGACTAAATAGAGGTCAAAACGTATCATATTGCTAAGAGGAAATACTACACAATTGGATATATGTGGTGAATTATGTTGAACTGCATTTGTTATTAGAGCCAAAATACTATCATCAGTTTGTATTCACATTGATGGTGTCCCCCTCCATGATATTGCTGGAATTTTGCTAAAAGCAGTGTAAAACCATACTCACTCACTCACTCACATTCACATTCACCTTGTCTTCACTAGATGTAGTCAGTAACCAATCAAAAACAAGTACCTTTGTGAAGGTCAGATATCATTTCTCTATTGTCTTACCCCACTGAGTGAGCTTTAAAGCCAGTTTTTCGTACACCCTGCCGAGCGCCATAATCAGCAGCAAGTTGACTACAGCAGCAGACAAGCTGGCAATCATGGAGGCCTTGGACCGGAGCGCCTTGTTCTCAAACAGCGGGATGCTGACAAGCACCCGGTACATGATCACAGCAATGATGAACACAATAACCAGGACCATCTGCAACACAAGCACGTGGGTGTAGTTTACTGCAACACCAGCACCATCTGCAACACAAGCACGTGGATGTAGTTTACTGCTACACCAGCACCATCTGCAACACAAGCACGTGGATGTAGTTTACTGCTACACCAGCACCATCTGCAACACAAGCACGTGGATGTAGTTTACTGCTACACCAGCACCATCTGCAACACAAGCACGTGGATGTAGTTTACTGCTACACCAGCACCATCTGCAACACAAGCACGTGGATGTAGTTTACTGCTACACCAGCACCATCTGCAACACAAGCACGTGGATGTAGTTTACTGCAACACAAGCACGTGGATGTAGTTTACTGCAACACAAGCGCGTGGATGTAGTTTACTGCTACACCAGCACCATCTGCAACACAAGCACGTGGATGTAGTTTACTGCAACACAAGCACGTGGATGTAGTTTACTGCAACACAAGCACGTAGATGTAGTTTACTGCAACACCAGCACCATCTGCAACACAAGCACGTAGATGTAGTTTACTGCTACACCAGCACCATCTGCAACACAAGCACGTAGATGTAGTTTACTGCTACACCAGCACGTGGATGTAGTTTACTGCAGCACAAACTGCGTGGATGTAGTTTACTGCAACACAAGCACGCGTAGATGTAGTTTACGCAACATCACCATCCTGCAACACAAGCAAACGCATGGATGTAGTTTACTGCAACACAAACGCGTGGATGTAGTTTACTGCTACACCAGCACCATCTGCAACACAAGCACGTGGATGTAGTTTACTGCAACACAAGCACGTGGATGTAGTTTACTGCAACACAAGCACGTAGATGTAGTTTACTGCTACACCAGCACCATCTGCAACACAAGCACGTAGATGTAGTTTACTGCTACACCAGCACGTGGATGTAGTTTACTGCAACACAAGCACGTGGATGTAGTTTACTGCAACACAAGCACGTAGATGTAGTTTACTGCAACACAAGCACATGGATGTAGTTTACTGCAACACAAGCACGTGGATGTAGTTTACTGCAACACAAGCACGTGGATGTAGTTTACTGCAACACAAGCACGTGGATGTAGTTTACTGCAACACCAGCACAAACTGCAACACAAGCAGCATATAGTGGAAAAGTTTATCAGAATGTTAAGTGATGTAGTTTACTGCAACACAAGCACATGGATGTAGTTTACTGCAACACAAGCACGTGGATGTAGTTTACTGCAACACAAGCACGTGGATGTAGTTTACTGCAACACAAGCACGTGGATGTAGTTTACTGCAACACAAGCACGTGGATGTAGTTTACTGCAACACAAGCACGTGGATGTAGTTTACTGCAACACAAGCACGTGGATGTAGTTTACTGCTATTGAACCCCCGCAACCCATGCTTGTCATAAAAGGCGACTTACAGGATCGGATGGTCAGACTCGTTGACACATGTCATCGTATCCCAATTGCGTAGAACGATGCTCATGCTGTTGATCACTGGATTGTCTGGTCTAGACTAGAATATTTACAGACCGCCGCCACATTGCTGGAATATTGCTGAGTGCGGCGTTAAACAACAAACCAACCAACCAATCAGATGAGATAGTCGCAAGGAAACGATTATATAAATATTCAAAGGTGTCACGTGAGCAGTTGAAAGGGTAGTAATGCAAAAGAATGTTGTCCAACGTGAATAGCTTCATGATGCTTGCACTAATTCCATTGTGGATCACTTTATAGACGAATTGAGTTTGTTGTCAAGAGATAGAGTGGAAACGAGTGTTGATATTTTCTGAACGGTGGGATTTCAGGTTTACTTTTCACATGGAGGCATATGTTTGGGGGCCTGGGCCTCGTTACACAAAGTGATCGTAGCACTAAGATGATCGTAACTCCCATGCTTTAACATAGATTTACAGTGATCATAGCACTAAGATGATCATAACTCCCATGCTTTAACATAGACTTACAGTGATCGTAGCACTAAGATGATCGTAACTCCCATGCTTTAACATAGATTTACAGCGATCGTAGCACTAAGATGATCATAACTCCCATGCTTTAACATAGATTTACAGTGATCATAGCACTAAGATGATCGTAACTCCCATGCTTTAACATAGACTTACAAGACATGTCATGCTAGCACTAAGATGATCGTAACTCCCATGCTTTAACATAGATTTACAGCGATCGTAGCACTAAGATGATCATAACTCCCATGCTTTAACATAGATTTACAGCGATCATAGCACTAAGATGATCGTAACTCCCATGCTTTAACATAGATTTACAGTTATCGTAGCACTAAGATGATCGTAACTCCCATACTTTAACATTGACTTACAGTGATCATAGCACTGAGATGATCGTAACTCCCATGCTTTAACATAGACTTACAGTGATCGTAGCACTAAGATGATCGTAACTCCCATGCTTTAACATAGACTTACAGTGATCGTAGCACTAAGATGATCGTAACTCCCATACTTTAACATAGACTTACAGTGATCGTAGCACTAAGATGATCGTAACTCCCATGCTTTTACATAGATTTACAGTTATCGTAGCACTAAGATGATCGTAACTCCCATACTTTAACATTGACTTACAGTGATCATAGCACTGAGATGATCGTAACTCCCATGCTTTAACATAGACTTACAGTGATCGTAGCACTAAGATGATTGTAACTCCCATACTTTAACATAGACTTACAGTGATCGTAGCACTAAAAAGATCGTAACTCCCATGCTTTAACATAGACTTACGACTGTTGTAGCATTACTATCACTTTGAGGAACAGGGCCCTGGAGTATTCATCAGTGTAATGGCAGCATCAGACTGACTGAACCCTGTAACTTACACACAAGGGGATGTGTGCACCAGGACAATGTCAGAACATTGTCAACATGATTTTCAAAGGGGTAGTCTAGAATGGAAGCTGCCAGATGGGAAGTAGTGCCATTGTGATTAGGACAATTGTTTTTTGATTGGCTAATATTATCTTGTTATTATTCATTTCACTGGTCAGTCAAAGATCACAAACTTCACCCTGATCTTATCTGTAATGGGATATCCTAAGATCTGAGGTTAGCAGTAGAGAGACCTAATATCTGACTTTGAATGAGATTACTTCAATACAATAAATGTTTTATTAGGTATATGAGCCCTTTTACATAATGTGACTCACCATTATAACAATGACCGCCATGCCAGAAAGTATCCTGGGTATCCGGTCCTTAGGGTTAAAGTAGGGCTCCTTCACTCCAGTGATGGGGTTCTCCTTAAACTCAGGGGCCTTGGCAGCATACTCAGGTCGGGGGCGCTCCTGAGGCACAGAGTAGGGAATACAGCTCCAACAAATATACATTGTCCTCCCCAATAGCCATGCCCACCCTTTCTTTCCAAGTTCCCCTTTCTATATTACAAAGACCTACCCCTTCCTTCAACACATGCACCTACCCCTTTCTCACTGTTATTCAGATCTACCTTTTTCTGCTACATATCTACTCGTGCCCCTTTCTACAATACCAAGAACTATACTTTTTTTTCAATATCAAGACCTACCCCTTCTTCAATGCCAAGACCTACCCCTTCTTCAATGCCAAGACCTACCCTTTCTTCAATGCCAACACATACCCCTCCTTCAGTGTCAAGATCTACCCCTGTCTACAATACCATGACCTACCCCTTCTACAACACCAAAACCTACCCCTATCTACAATACCAATACCTACCCCTTCTACAATACCAACACCTACCCCTATCTACAATACCAATACCTACCCCTTCTACAATACCAACACCTACCCCTATCTACAATACCAATACCTACCCCTTCTACAATACCAAGACCTACCCCTTCTACAAAACCAAGACCTACCCCTTCTACAACACCAAGACCTACCCCTATCTACAATACCAATACCTACCCCTTCTACAATACCAAGACCTACCCCTTCTACAATACCAATACCTACCCCTTCTACAATACTAAGACCTACCCCTGTCTACAATACCATGACATACCCCTTCTACAACACCAAAACCTACCCCTTCTACAATACCAATACCTACCCCTTCTACAATACCAACACCTACCCCTATCTACAATACCAATACCTACCCCTTCTACAATACCAACACCTACCCCTATCTACAATACCAATACCTACCCCTTCTACAATACCAAGACCTACCCCTTCTACAAAACCAAGACCTACCCCTTCTACAACACCAAGACCTACCCCTATCTACAATACCAATACCTACCCCTTCTACAATACCAAGACCTACCCCTATCTACAATACCAATACCTACCCCTTCTACAATACCAAGACCTCCCCTTCTACAATACCAAGACCTACCCCTTCTACAACACCAAGACCTACCCCTATCTACAATACCAATACCTACCCCTTCTACAACACCAAGACCTACCCCTATCTACAATACCAATACCTACCCCTTCTACAATACCAAGACCTACCCCTTCTACAATACCAATACCTACCCCTTCTACAACACCAAGACCTACCCCTATCTACAATACCAATACCTACTACATTATCTACAATACCAAGACCTACCCCTATCTACAATGCCATGACCTACCCCTTCTACAACACCAAGACCTACCCTATCTACAATACCAATACCTACCCCTTCTACAATACCAAGACCCCACCCCTTCTACAATACCAATACCCTACCCTATCTACAATGACCAATGCCTGCCCCCTTCTACAACACCAAGACCTACCCTATCTACAATACCAATACCTACCCCTTCTACAATACCAAGACCTACCCCTTCTACAATACCAATATCTACCCCTTCTACAATACCAACACCTACCCCTATCTACAATACGAAGACCTACCCCTTTTACAATACCAAGACCTACCCCTATCTACAATACCAAGACCTACCCCTTTTACAATACCAAGACCTACCCCTTCTACAATACCAAGACCTACCCCTTTTACAATACCAAGACCTATCCCTTTTATTTTACAAAGACCTACCCCTTCTACAATACCAAGACCTACACCTTCTACAATACCAAGACCTACCCCTTTTTACAATACCAAGACCTACCCCTTCTACAATACCAAGACCTACCCCTTTTACAATACCAATACCTATCCCTTTTACTTTACCAAGACCTACCCCTTTTACAATACCAAGACCTACCCCTTCTACAATACCAAGACCTACACCTTCTACAATACCAAGACCTACCCCTTTTACAATACCAAGACCTACCCCTTCTACAATACCAAGACCTATCCCTTTTACTTTACCAAGACCTACCCCTTCTACAATATCAAGACCTACCCCTTCTTCAATACCAAGACCTACCCCTTCTACAATACCAAGACCTACCCCTTCTACAATACCAAGACCTACACCTTCAATACCAACAACTACACCTTATTCAATACTAAGACCTACCTCTTCTACAATACCAAGACCTACCCCTTTTACAATGCCAAGACCTACCCCTTCTACAATACCAAGACCTACCCCTTCCTCCTCAAAGTCCGTCACGTCCCAGTGGTGAGCCAAGCTGGCATTCTTTCTCTTCCAATACTCTAGAAATGTGACAGCTGGGGAAAAAGATCAATTAACAATCATTCAACCAGAAGCAAGGTCCTGGTGTCATGTCACAGCAGACAGATATTCATCAAACACATATTGAAACAACTGGACCTTGTCAAATTGGTAATCAGCTGGCATGACGTACAACCAGATAAAGGCATGAAATTACTGAATGACAGACATTGTCGTACATTATAGGACTTGATTGATGTCACCAGTCTGTTTTTCAACAAATATCTAAAATACCTGTGTCAGTTCCACTCAGATGTTATAGTATGTAAACAGTACTGAGTAAGTCTGTAGGAATTAAACTGCTTTTAATAATATTTTAGCAATATCTGGGGACACCAGAAAAGTCCATCACTCCTTGTTCATATGCATGGAAGCAAGACCTTTGGGGTGACGAACATATATAAACCACTACCCCACGCCCAACTATCTGACTGACTGACTGAGTATGGTTTTACGCTGCTTTTAGCAATATTCCAGCAACATCACGGCGGGGACACAACTTCACACATTGTGCCCATGTTGATTCGAACCGGTCTTCGCATTTAACCATTAGGCTATCCCACCGCCCCCCCAAAATATCTGAGAGTCTACTGGAGCTTTCTGTTGTATCAGTGAGTTAAGATTTCCTAAATATCGTGTATTTCTGTTGTATCAAGTTATCCATGTTGTCCAGCAGTATTACAGCATCTTACCCCAGAAGGAGACGAAGACAGCGTAGAAGACGGTCCCCGGATGATCAAAAAGGTAGGCTATCTTCACAAAGAGGCAGACGTCAGACAGGTACCAGTACTCACAGCCGATGTCCTCGTCACACAGCGGACACATCTTGTACTTCTCCCCACTCGTACATACCTCCACACTGGAACAGTCAGTGAGTGAGTGAGTCGGGTTTTATGCCGCTTTTAGCAATATTCCAGAATTATCACCAGAAATGGGCTTCACATTGTGCCCATGTGGGGTATCAAACCCAGGCCTTCGGCAGGACAAGTAAATGCTTTAATCACTAGGCGACCCCACTGCCTACACTGGAACATCAACACAGCATTAGCACCTTGCTGATGACAGGAGAATACTGGCACTGGGGAGGGAACATATAGGACAGGGCAGGTGAACAATAGTATCGGATAATGAAACAGCAGTACTGGTGAACAGGGACATTAGCTTGGGGCTGGGGCACACTAGCACTAGCCAAAGGAACATTACCACAATAAAAGGAACAAGAGAATTAACAGGGGACCATCAGCATGGGACAGAGGAGACCATTACAAGGGCCAGGGAGGTGACAATTTAAATGGGGCAGGGACGGTAACATTAGCATGGGATACGGAGGGGACCAAGCACGGGGCATCAATATGTATCTTGAGTGGAAAAATAGTACAGGGCCAGACAACCCAGTGATTGACGTCATAAGCATGAATCCACATAACTGAATTATGAAACAAGCAATTGAAAAAGTCACTCAGTCTGACCACCCAATTTCGAAAGTTGGTCTCTTGCACAGGCTGCCCTTGAGCTATCCTGGGCACTCACACAGGGACAAATACAGGGAGTCTGCACAGGAGGCCGACAAAAGGCAGCCACACAGGGACAAACACAGGGAGTCTGCACAGGGCATCCCCACAGGGCTCCTACACAAGGCATCAACACAGGGAGTCTGCACAGGGCATCCCCACAGGGTTCCTACACAGGGCACCAACACAGGGAGTCTGCACAGGGCATGCCCACAGGGTTCCTACACAGGGAGTCTGCACAGGGCATGCCCACAGGGTTCCTACACAGGGAGTCTGCACAGGGCATGCCCACAGGGTTCCTACACAGGGAGTCTGCACAGGGCATGCCCACAGGGTTCCTACACAGGGAGTCTGCACAGGGCATCCCCACAGGGTTCCTACACAGGGAGTCTGCACAGGGCATGCCCACAGGGTTCCTACACAGGGAGTCTGCACAGGGCATGCCCACAGGGTTCCTACACAGGGAGTCTGTACAGGGCATGCCCACAGGGTTCCTACACAGGGAGTCTGCACAGGGCATGCCCACAGGGTTCCTACACAGGGAGTCTGCACAGGGCATGCCCACAGGGTTCCTACACAGAGAGTCTGCACAGGGCATGCCCACAGGGTTCCTACACAGGGAGTCTGCACAGGGCATGCCCACAGGGTTCCTACACAGGGAGTCTGCACAGGGCATGCCCACAGGGTTCCTACACAGGGAGTCTGCACAGGGCATGCCCACAGGGTTCCTACACAGGGAGTCTGCACAGGGCATCCCCACAGGGGTCCTACACAGGGCACCAACACAGGGAGTCAACACAGGGAGTCTGCATAGGGCACCTACACAAGGCACAATCTCATGGAACATAAAGTTCATTTAAGAAATCACGTTCCTGCTACTTGCTCATAGGTCATAATAGTTAGATGCTCTTTTCAAGCCTCACATATCTCTCTGAACACTCCTTGAAACTTACGCCGGTATGTTGGCGTTCATGGTTATGCAGCCATAGAGGAAGACTATCACACCAACAATGGAGGCCGGGAGCAGCCAGGCTGTGTAGAAACCTGTAACAAACACACAAACACTGTAAGACTTTACAGGAACACAACAGAACATGAGAACTAGTGCTCCTTCCAGAGCCGGGCATCTTTGTCAATATTGATGCACAAGTTATCTAAGGTGGTGGTGGTGGTGGAATTGGGTTTAACGTCGTGCTTGAGAATATTTCGCTCATATGACGACGTGCATGCGAGTGTATGTGTATGTGCGGCTGCTTGTACTAGCCCACACTGAAGCTGGTTTTATAGTGCTACCCCACTGTGATACCATGCCGAAGTGAAGCATGAATACCCCACTCAGACACATTATACCGACTCTGAGCCGACCAGTCCTTGTTGTACCCATTAATGCCGAGCGCCAGGCAGGGACCAACAAGTACCATATTTTAACGTCTTTTGGTATGACGCAGTCGGGGATCGAACCCGCGACCTTTCGCACGATCTAACCACTACACCACGGAGGCGGTCAGTTATCTAAGGAATGTTTTGTACCGTACCTCAACATGCAATATTTCATGATGTTTGGAATGTGTCTGTGTTCTTCTGTTGCTGTATTGTATATGGCAATGATCAGTGTAAAACATTATGAAGCAAGCTCCATCGCTCTGTGTGACATCTTTATAACATTCTCATGACATAGCACAAGCAAAGAAATGCTGCTGTTAGGAGCTTTGTTATTTGATTGGCTCCTGTCATTCTATAAGCGATGTTTCAATTGTCTTACACCTGCAAGGGCAAAGCCTTCTGTTGGCTTGTTTTATGCCTGTAAATAAGCTCTAGTATCTGACCAATTCATAACCACTTTTTACCTCTGACACCAACCAAACAAACTAAAGCTCTCATCCTCAAACATCCTAGAGTAGTTTTACACACGCCAAGGCATATCTTTCAGAGGAAGCAAAACCACAAGACTTCCATTTTTGTGGAAGCCGTGGTGGCTGAGCGGTCTTGGCGTCTGACTTTGAATCCCGAATGGGACTCAACCCAAAAAAGTACTAGAATCTGTACTTTACTAAGAAAGTGTAATCCCCAATATAACATATGTTACAAAAGTTTTTTATCTATTGACTTCTCATCTATTATCTGTCACTTATCTATTTACCTTCTCATGACATGTGCCAAAAAAGAAGTTAATTTGAAAGTCAAAGACCTTTGAAAACTATACATAACAAAATCACCAGCTGTAGTCAAAATCTGACAAAGCCACCATGGTGCTGCAAAATTTGCACTAGTGGATTACTTAAAATATAACCCACCCAGCCAGGCGAAGTATATGCCGATCTTCTCCCCAAAGTATTCTCGGATGTGGTCAAGTGGCTGGTACTTGAACCACACACCCCACCGCGCCCAGTACCGGGACAGCACCTGTCTCTGGTTTAACTCCTCTGGGGCAACATAGTGCTTCGGTTTCTCCCATGGACCCTGCAGGGAAACATACACATAGGGAATAAACAGATGGGGAATATAGGTGTGGGGAATATAGGCATGGGGAATATAGGCGTGGGGAATATAGGTGTGGGGAATATAGGCGTGGGGAATATAGGCGTGGGGAATATAGGTGTGGGAAATATAGGAGTGGGGAATATAGGCGTGGGAAATATAGGTGTGGGGAATATAGGTGTGGGGAATATAGGAGTGGGGAATATAGGCATGGGAAATATAGGAATGGGGAATATAGGCATGAAAAAAACATAGGTGTGGGAAATATGGACATGGGGTTATAGGTATGGGGAATATAGTCATGGGGAATATAGGTGTGGGGAATATAGGAGTGGGGAATATAGGCATGGGAAACATAGGTGTGGGAAATATGGACATGGGGTTATAGGTATGGGGAATATAGTCATGGGGAATATAGACATGGGGAATATAGGTGTGGGGAATATAGACATGGGGAATATAGGTGTGGGGAATATAGACATGGGGAATATAGGTGTGGGGAATATAGACATGGGGAATATAGGTGTGGGGAATATAGACATGGGGAATATAGGTGTGGGGAATATAGACATGGGGAATATAGGTGTGGGGAATATAGTCATGGGGAATATAGGTGTGGGGAATATAGACATGGGGAATATAGGTGTGGGGAATATAGACATGGGGAATATAGGTGTGGAGAATATAGGCATGGGGAATATGGACACAGGAATATAGGTGTGGGGAATACAGGCATGGAGAATATAGACATATTCTTCATGGAATTGGATCGGGTAATGTAGAGTGAGTGAGTGAGTTACCCTTTACGCTGCACTCTGCAATATTCCAGCTATATGGCGGCATTCTGTAAATAATTGAGTCTGGACCAGACAATCCAGTGATCAACATCATGAGCATCGATCTACACAATTGGGAAATGATGACATGTCAACCAAGTCAGCGACCACCCAATCCCGATCTGACCACCCAATTCCGTTAGTCGCCTTTTACGACAAGCATGGGTTACTGAAGACCAGTTCTAACTTGGATCTTCATGGGTCAGGTAATGTAGACAGTGACATGGCTGGGATATGACTGTAAGCAACAAAATCTGTTCCTGTTAAACTGTTAGTGACAAAAAATGTAAAACATATTCTTTGGTCTCCTAAAAAATCATTTCTTCAAAAGGCAAGCAGGAAGCTCCGAAATAAATGTATTTTGACTCTCTCTCTCTCTCCCATATTTAGTGTGGGGTTTTTTGACAAAGAAAAAACTTGCATGTTCTGAGTGCTGACTGAAATAATATTGCTTCTAAATATGATGCTTCCACGGCATATTTAATGATTGGTAATGAGGCAATCAGGGTTGAGAATATGGAACATCCTGAAAAATACTGACTTGGCAATTTACATTTAAAGACAACATTTTGTGAAGACATTTATATTTGCATGCTGTAATCATCCACGTTTGTGATTGATAAGTTGGAAGGTTCACTCAATAGATCACTTCAAGTTGTTCAAGTTTCTCCATTTTCAAAAAAGTCACAAACTGCCTTTTTAATGACTTAAAATAGACAAAGGCATTTACTGAATATGCTGAAGTTTATGACTGACTGACTGAGTTTTGGTTTTACGCCGCTTTTAGCAATATTCCAGCAACATCACAGCGGGGGACACCAGAAATGGGCTTCACACATTGTACCCATGTGGGGATTCGAACCCGGGTCCTCAGCATGACGAGCCAACGCTTTAACCACTAGGCTACCCCACCGCCCCTGAAGTTTATGAGGATACATCCCTATGCCATCATGTTATGTCCACAACAAAAGATTAACTCTTGCAAATCCCTCGATCTGTATGAGGCTAAAATCCCTTTCCAAACAGCAAATGTCATTTGTGACGTTCACTCACATCATGTAGGGGAAATGCGGCTACAAATGTTTCTTCCTCTATCATTCTCTCCACCCCTATCTCAGCCTTCTTCTTTTTTTCCGTATGTGGCGGTGGACAGGATTTCCCACACCATCTGACTCCGCTGAGTGGATGAAAAGAACTGGTCCTTATTTTCATGGCCAAGGAACCTGCAACAACCAAGTCATTCTGTAAGAACTAATTAAAAGATAAGCGTACTGTGAGTTCAATGTTGAGTTACATGGACATGAACACACACAATGCCACTTAGAAACTGGTCAAATATAACACGTTACATTTGGGATTATACTTTCTCAGTCAAGTACAGATTCTAGTACTTTATGAGCTGAGTTGAGGCCCATCTGGGATTTGAACCCACACTCAGAGTCAGGCAGTTTATCACCAGCACACAAAGCGAGCGATCTAACCCACTCAGCCACCTTACCTTCCCTTAAGTAGGTTATTTTCTTTCCCCCTTCACAGCTTACTAATGCTCTAGCCCCAAATACCACAAGTCTAGAATCTCAGGAGTTCAGGAATCTCCACACTCAGAGGGGCTGCTTTTCAATTGCAAATGGAGTTGTTTTTATTTTCAAAATAATTCAGTTTCGAAGTTTAATGCTGCCAAAAACAAATGTAAAGTGGACTAAATATTATCTTTGCTCTCTGATATGATAACCTTAATATCTGCAACATAATTTCGATTTGCATACATCAGAAAAAAAATCTTCTGAAGTAAATAGATGTCTGCATCTGTACTTACTCTATGAAAACACAGGGGCGGTAGCGTAGTGGCTAAAGTGTGTGCTTGTCACACCGAAGACCCGGGTTCGATTCCCCACATAGTTACAATGTGTCAAGCCTATTTCTCGTGTCCCCCGCCATGATATTGCTGGAATATTACTAAAAGCTGCGAATAACTAAACACACTCACTCACTTACTGACTATGAAAACACAATATAATCTATGCTGATAGTCTCGGTATCCCCCTTGATGGTTGAAATGTGTACACTATGAAGAAATTACTATCATTGTCCCTAAGCATTCAGACAAAACCTATCAATCAACAGTCCTGTGGGGTCCCAGAGCAAAACATCCTCTTTGAGTCAGACAGCCATGTGTAATCCGTGTATTCGGATGCTGAGATAAGGGAGAAAACTCTGGTAAAGACTTACTTTACTTTCTGGCAACGCCTGATCAGAGATCATAAAGTAATATTTTATAGTCTCTGCTCTGAAGCAACACAGTTAAATTAGCTGGGATTTTATTACCAAGCATGTATCTGTTTTGAAACTGCATGGTGATATTGCCAATGCTTAAAGAAAAAATGAAACCTAATTTTGTTACAAGCATTTAGAGTTTTGATATAAAAATTTAACAAAAAAATAGTTTAGAACTATTCAGGATCAATATCAAAATTCATAACATGCATGCTGAATAAAGATAAATGATATAAAAAACTAAGGCCTGTCTTCAGGAAAACAGCATATTTTCTCAGTTTGCTACATAAGGGTATAAACCACAAAACAGCCTCTCACACCTTCATCTGTAATGTACTAAATAACTTTCACCTATTGAAAAGATATAAGTCCAATTACATTGTCAATATACATGTATATTCATTATGTCTCCCACACAGAATTATTTTTTTTCTTCATCATGGTAATTATCTACTGTATTGCAATGTTAACCACAAACTAGAGTAATTTGAAAGCTCCAAATGACTTGTATTGTAGTTCTATTGATGGCTGTTTGGACCATTCTTGGTGACACCTGTTGTCAATAATGTCTCAAGTCATGTCTGAAATAGACGTGACATAGACGTGCAATATACATGTATTGTATGCCTGGGTATAACTGATCATATTTCCCTCTAGGAGCAGGACATTGCAAGCAATAACTGCCATCTGTTTCGTGTTGTTGTAATCATGTAATATTGACATCTTGCAGAAACTGGGAAAAATTATTTAAATAGAGTTTCATGGATTGTCCAATTTCTCAGATGTTTGATCAATAATATTTTTTTAAATGTGACAAAGAAGAGCTATTACCTTGTTTCATCAAGGTAATAAATACTTTCAGCTTAATACAGCTTGGTGTTAGATGAGAATTATATATACAATTATGTATTCCACTATTCCGCTGACAGGGCTGACTGTGTACATGCATTCTTCCACTCCTTCATACCCTTGCTCTAACCCTTTCTGGCGCTCGGCATTAATGGGTACAACAAGGACTGGTCGGCTCGGAGTCAGTATAATGTGTCTGAGTGGGGTATTCATGCTTCACTGCGGCATGGTATCTCAGTGGGCAAGCACTATAAAACCAGCTGAAGTCTGGGCTAGTAAAAGCAGCTGCACCTACACATACACCCATGCACGTCGTCATATGAGCGAAATATTCTCCAGCGTGACGTTAAACCAAATTTCACCTCACCTCTAACCCTTTCAAACTTTTTTCAAAATCCTTGACTTCAGGTGACATTGGGCAGGGACCTATATGTAGGACTGTAACGATGCATCGAACTATCGATTGATTGCAATTGTTGAGTCTCCGATAGCAATTAATTGATGGTAGAAAAGAAAAACTATCGATGCATCGATAGTATGCGTGACTATCAATAGTTTAGTAATTGACTTCCGTTGATAAATGCGCAGCGCACACTACAGGAAGTACCAGATTCGTTCACTTTGATTTAGAGTTATCCACCCCTTTACCTCTTTAACTATCTTGATCTGGATTTCAAGTTTCTTGTCAATTATTAAAAGAGACTGAAACTACTTCAGCTTGTTTTTATTTCATATAAACTATACATTCATTTGGGAAATGACTTCAAGTGAGACTATTCAAAGAGAAAAAAACTATTGCACTAGTATTGCAATAGTTGGTTGCAATAGACTATCGCTATCACAATGGTATGTTGCAACAGACTATCACTATAGTTGTTTCACCCTCAATAGTTACCCCTACCTATAGTCCGTTTCACTCAAAAGCGAACCGATGAATTGCAATCTAACTCGAAAACTAATAAACATAAAATACTCAATGAAACGCTGATCATAATCGAAACATCATACCAACTCTGTGATTTATTTGCAGAATTTTTGTCCCAAAAATAAAAAAGCTGTTTAACAAACTATCATTAAAATATTGACACAGTTCACTATTTGTTACGAGGGAGGAGTGCAGAGAAAAGGACAGCCAGGTGTTCGAGAAGCACGGTCACAGACAAAGTTATTTATTCATTAACCTGTGCTGTGCCGCCTCCATCCTTTCTCGAACACCTGGCTGTCCCTTTCTCTGCACTCCTCCCTCGTAACAAATAGTGAACTGTGTCAATAATATTGTCACATCACGTCATTCATGGCCTACCAGTCTTTTACAATTAAATAAAGAAATAATAATTGTTTCAAACACAAGTATCGATGTTATGAATCCATAGACACATGAACTACTGCACAGATGGGGCACCTGAAAACAGTGCTGATAACATGTAAACATCCAGTGTGATCCACAGAGCAAACAAGCGTTTTATGTTATGAGTCTAAATAAAAGGAGCGGTCAAATTTTTAAATTACTGCCTTTCATCCAAATATTGTAAATTAAAAGGAAATTAAAAAATCAAAATGCATTCATCTTGTAGACACACTTAAGTTCCAAAGGGCACCTCTTGATGAGTGCCCCGAGGCACACACAAAACTAAATCATATCTATCCCTGTCAATTAGATATTTTAAAGATGTCATCTGCTGCCTACTTATCGAGCTTGGATCGCTTGAACTGACACGTGTAGTAGTCGAGGGGTCTGTTGGGGACGTCCTGGCTCATCATATTAGGGATGTGGAGAGCTCGCAGTATCTTCTCCGACCAGTTGTTGCTGGGATTCGGATGGGCCTGAAACATGGACAGTGAGACCTGCTGTAACTTGTGTCCTTCAGAAACTTTCCTTGGTAGAAGCATAGAAACTTTCTACTGTTATCATCTGAAACAAAACTTTTGTAGGTAGACTACTGGTGTAAACTGGTTTCTTTTCTTAACATATCATACTAATTAATAGAGTGTGGGTACGGAATGCCAGATATTTCTACATATATAAACTGCTGGACAGAAATATACGTACAGCTATGTGTTGATGATTTATACATTATATTGACATGTACATAAATAAGTCAAACTAGGGGCTAAAAAACTACAGCCATTACGGTCTGATCATTTCCATCAGTATATTAAGTTTCCATGTGGATATTTAAGATTTACATAATTAAATTTCCATTCCCATTAGTATATTAAAAAATTCCATCACAAACATACAAGATTTCTGCCAGTATATAATTTCCATCAGAATTATTAAGATTTCCATGATGATACATAAGATTTCCATCAGTATATATAAGATTTCCATGGTATATATATGATTTCCATTGGCATATATAAGATTTCCATGGTATATATATGATTTCCATTGGCATATATAAGATTTCCATGGTACATATAAGATTTCCATTTGCATATATAAGATTTCCATTGGCATATATAAGATTTCCATTGGCATATATAAGATATCCATGGTATATATAAGATTTCCATGGTATATATATAAGATCCATCAGTATTTATAAGATTTCCATGGGCATATGTAAGATTTCAAATTGAAGTTATAAGATAAATTGGCATATATAATGTTTCTATATGTACATATAACATCAATGTTCAAAGAAATAATTTTGCTACGCTATGGCAAGTTAATTGTAGCTCAGCAATATCCCAGCTATGCGATGCAGCCTGTAAATATTCCGGCCTTAACCAGTGGTGGATATTATGAAGAGCCTTAGAGTAAGGTGACACACAATCCACCAAGCCAGCCAACCTGACCACCTGATTCATGTAGCTGCCTATCACAACAAGAGGGGCGGTGGGGTAACCTAGTAGGTAAACAATCACCCATCGCACCGAAGATCCCAGTTCGATTCCCCACATGGGCACAATGTGTGAAGCCCATTTCTGGTGTCCCACGCCGTGATAGTGCTGGAGTATTGCTAAAAAGCAGCGTAAAACTAAACCACTCACTCCAAGGGAAGGATGCAGGGCAACTAGTCTCAATGAATGAGGAATGACAGAGTAAGGTTTTACGCTGACTTTAACAACAGTCCAGCCAAATGCAAGCAGGTATACCAGAAACGCCTGCATAAATAGTCACTATGTCTGGAATCAAACCTTGGCCTTTGTGTGATGAACAAGCGCTTCAACCACTAGACTACCCCACTGTCTTACTAACAGATGAAGACTGACTGACTGAGTTTGGTTTTACGCCGCTTTTAGCAATATTCCAGCAACAGCACGGCGGGGGACACCAGAAATGGGTTTCACACATTGTACCCATGTGGGGATTCGAACCCGGGTCTTTGGCATGACGAGCCAACGCTTTAACCCTTAGGCTACCCCACCGCCCAACAGATGAAGAAGAAACATGTTCAACATATATATTTCTACATCATTATCCATTCCAAGTTTACATGCTGCCTGTACAATGTACACAATGTTTTCTACCTGTTGCTACCCTGACCTGTAAAGCAACAGCAGGTTTAACAAGTACACAGCTAAATATTTTTTTAAATGTTTCAACATGGGTTAAACACAGACAGACAAAAGCAAACACGAAAAGTTAAGTGAGCTAAGTTTTGTTTTACGCCGCACTCAAAAGAGTTAAGTAACACTGAACATGTATGACACATTATTCAAGTCAATCTTTTGTTTAATAAAATACCAATTTAAATTAAGGTCTGAACCTTTTTCTAATTCAAATAATAGTATAATTTTGCCACTGATAAAGGTAAAAAGAAACAAAAATAAAGAGCTATTTTCAAAATCACATCCTGACTTTTACAGGTTGTTTAACAGAATAATGATCATCTCCTGTCAAGCCAGACCAGTATTTTGATATTCTGGACTGAAAGCAAGATATAGAGCTGATCTTGTCACTGTCTATGTCAGCCTGCATCCAGTTAATCTGTCCGCAAACCACAACATGCACAGGCATATATACTATCATATATACTACCATATATACTACCAACCAGTTGATATGAAATGTCTTGTTCACTATTTATACAGTCGAAGAAGGGCTAAATTGCAGTGGAAGTAATATGACATCACACAGAATCTACAAACAGTGAAGGTCAAGGTCAAACATAGAGGTCAAAGGGAGGAAAGGTTGAAGGTATTGATTGGGGGGCTTGAGCTGTCTGAGGGAGGAGTTATAATTATGGGTCAAACTGGGGTCATAATGAGGTCAAAGGGAATAGTCATAAGTAGGGGTCAAACTGGGGTCAAAAGGGAGGAGTCATAAGTAGGGGTCAAACTGGGGTCAAAGGGAGGAGTCATAAGTAGGGATCAAACTGGGGTCAAAGGGAGGAGTCATAAGTAGGGGTCAAACTGGGGTCAAAGGGAGGAGTCAGTCAAACTAAGTAGGGGAGTCATAAGTAGGGGTCAAACTGGGGTCAAAGGGAGGAGTCATAAGTAGGGGTCAAACTAAGGTCAAAGGAGGAGTCATAAGTAGGGCTCAAAGAACAGAATCAAACATAAAGGTGAAATGGAGTTATTAAGAGAAGAGTGGAGTCATTTTCAATTCTACTGCTACCCCTGAAATCCCAGTTCGACAATGTGATTCCAGAACGAAGCCTCAGCTAAGCTGAAGAAGAGATAATCTTCTAAGCACAAAGATCACTTTGAGCAACAGGGCCCAGCTCTCAAATCTAAAGCTTCACCAAACCACTAAAAATACTGAAACCATATCTACAGAGCGAACTTAGAGCTTTGACTGGTTCAAGCAGAAGAGACAACTGTCATTGCACTAAGATCACTATGTGCAACAGGTCCAGTATCTCAGATGAAAGGCTAGCACTAGCATTATGGAAACAGCATTCCACCATGTCATCTTAGAGCTAAGACTAGCGTAAGTCAGAGAGACGATTGTCTTAGCACTACGATCACTCTGTGGAATAAAGGCCAACTTGGTTGTAGATTTATTAACATCACCGCTGCCGCTATTGTACAGTCTCATTCAGATCATGCAGACATGCAGTCCAGGCAGAGCTGAGTACAGTATTGACAGCAGCTGTCAGGTGGGGTATAATCTCGGTATTTACTTACTCCTGAAGACAGTGCCTTGTAAAATAAAGAAGATGTGACATTACAGACATGCTCAAGCTTCACGGTTCTCGTGCTGGATGTTCTTTGGGGAACAATAATAGTGAAATCAGACCTGTTACTCTGACACGACGATCCTCGGGATGATCGTCTGATGACTGATACATCAGAAGGCCAAATGATATTTCGAATCAGCCAATAGCATTAAAGTTTCTGATTCAGACAAACATATCTGAACACTGTATTTCAAAAAAAGAACTGATTGACCATTAAATTATATGATACAATGTTTTCATGTTGTTGTGGGTAGTCGTCACAGTTCACATGAAATGACCTAACATGGAGGGGTCGTTAGACTGTCACACAGAGAGGCATCAAATCGGAGTAACAGTTCAGATTGTAATGGGATAGGGCACAGGAAGAAGATATCTTTCCAAGACCGGCAAGGCCCTTCCTTGCCATGCCATTAAATATTTTAGAAAATCTCAAAATCAACAAGTTTTCCAATGATTCTGAAAAAAATTGACAACCCGTGCAAGATAGAGATACTCAAAATGAAATATGGATGATATGACAAATCTTACATTGTCTGATAACTTTGGTTTTTGAGAAGACAAAATGCTTAAAAAATATCAGTCAACCTACGCTTTCTAATTTCTCAAACACCATTCAATGTAAAACATTTTCTTTCTAGCTTGTAACATTTTCTGATCTAAAACATATGCCCTATACAACATAAATTTACAGACAACAAAGTGCTGCTTGGTGTCTACAATTGCCAGTTGGAAAGAAAGTAGCACATTTCTACAGACAAACAATCATCTCCCACTCACAATAATAACTAAGTCAAGTATAAATCCACACGTTCATCACACATGTTTAACTTATCAAAATCCAGCCAAATATTGATTCATTAAGTGACACAACTACTCCTGGCTTCTACCTTGAACAGCAAAAACAATATATACTATTCGCTGGATGACTAATGATACACAGCATGCAACCACATGGGGACACACAGACTCCATGAAGAGTTGTATAATACTCAACCCCAAACACAAATGGTTGAACTGTCTAAAGAAAAATATAAGCAATAATTAATTGAAATCAATGAAAATAATTCAAAAGTAGAGGAAAGTTTATACATGATATTAAAATATAATGATTATATTTTAAGATATATAAAAATTAAACATATATTATTTTATAAGCATACTGCGATTGTTGATATTGCTTTGTGATACTACGTGACAATACACCTTCAGAAAGGAATTTCGTCTCACTCTGCAGGTACAGAGCTGACAAACCAATGATCACGATCAGAATGAATCTGGGATTTGAACTCCAGACTAGCAGATCTTGGTAGCAGTTTGCAGAGGCTCACACCACTGTGCCACTGGCATAACCCTTAAGGGTTAATACACAAAGTATTAATACAAGTTTAATCTTGATAAAGAAGAGTGAATCAAATCAGTTTCATCTTTAAAAACATCGATACTAGCAAGTCATAACAGATGTGCAGTGTAAAAAAGAGATAAATTTGGTCTCACATGACAAATTAAAATATACAACAAAACTGTCTTTTTTTTATTATACAAGCATTTAATGTTATATAAAAAAAAAAGATGTGAAAATTGAAAGTGAAAGAAAAATATTAAAACATACTTTAAGATGAGTTTACAAATAGTTTTCACACAAACAGTATCTCTTCCCCAACATACCTGCAGTGGAGCCCTCATGCTGAGATCTTCTGCATAGCAGCAACAGACGTCCCATGGTGCATGAATTTTCACAAAGTTAATGATTTTCTTGTCGCTCTCTAGGCTCTCCTAAAACACAAGAATAATACGTCAAAATTGGGTCCTTTTTACAAGGAAAGCAATGTTGAAGAATAAAGGCGACATATAACTAAAATACAGTAAAACGCAATATATTAGGATGTGAATTTGTTTAATGCTTCCTTGAGAATATTCATTTCCTGTATATTAAGGTGTGTCAGCTTAATGGTGGGTGGTGGGGGGTTGGGACAGTCAATATTTGTGGCTCATTTAAATTACTTTTATTCCTACAGGTAAAAGGGGGACCATATAGGTAATGGGTATACCATGCAGGTGGAAGTGGTACCGTGCAAGGACCAGAGGTACCACCCAGATAAACAATGTACCATGCAGGTAAGTGGTACCATGCAGGTAAGAGGTACCAGGCAGGTAGCACTCGGAACTACCATGCAGGTAACAGAGTCTGAGAGGTACTCTAAGACCCTATGGTCCCAGATACGATCCCAGATATGGCTGCTGGTGATCCATCTATTTTGTAGTGTCTAGTAATAGTTTATGCTCCAATACTATAGTCCGTTTGGCTCAAAAGCGGACCGATGAATTGCAATCTAACTGGAAAACTAATAAACATAAAATACTCAATGAAACACTGATCATAATCAAAACTCCTCCCTCGTAACAAATAGTGAACTGTGTCAATATTTTAATGATAGTTTGTTAAACAACTTTTTTAATTTTAGGACATAAATTCTGCAAACAAATCACAGAGTTGGTCTGATATTTTGATTATGATCAGTGTTTTATTGAGTATTATATGTTTATTAGTTTTTTAGTTAGATTGCAATTCATCGGTCCGCTTTTGAGCCAAACGCACTATAGTTATGAATAGAATCTGTGACAATGTGGTTGTTTCACTGTTCGCCATTGTCATGATTTTGTGCACGATTACTTTCTATGTTTTGGTCTGTTTGTTTACGCTTACGCTGCACTCAGCAATATTCCAGCTAGAGGTTGGCGGTCTGTAAATAATCAAGTCTGGACCAGATTACTTTCTAGTCACAATAAGGTAGACATGTTGCAGGTGTGGTGTGGGGAAACCAGATAATGGCTTCGCACATTGTACTCACGAGGAAATTAAATCCAGCCTTCCACAAGACAAACATATGCTTTAGCATATAACAGATAGTATTACTGGTGCAGTAAACTCCATATACTTTGTATCACAATCAGATAAATATGCAAATGAGTTCACTATTGAAATAACGTGGAGAAACATGGCCTTCAGCAAGACAAACATGCTTTAGCATATAACAGATAGTTATACTGATGCAGGAAACAACCTGATAAACTATCACGATAAGATAAATATGCAAATGAGTTCACAACTTCTAATCTCCATAAATTGATGCAATGTCTGCTTGGTCAATATTGAATAACTGTTGAAGAACATTCCAATACGTTCAAAATGGGGTTTTCAATGTGTGGCTTATTCTGTAGACAAACGTGACAAGAAATCAGCAATAAATTAAACATATTGCATTGTTCACTCCAACATTGTATTCATACACAGTTTCTGGGGCGGTGGGGTAGCCTAGTGGTTAAAGTGTTCGCTCGTCACGCCGAAGGCCTGGGTTCGATGCCCCACATGGGTACAACTTGTGAAGCCCATTTCTGGTGTCCCCCGCCGTGATATTGCTGGAATATTGCTAAAAACGGCGTAAAACCAAACTCAGTCAGTCAGCATACACAGTTTCTAAAGTGAATCTATCGAGATAAATTACATCTTAAACATGTATTTAATTTACGAATGACATATCCTGAAGAGGTTATTACCCGAATGAATTCCAAAAAGTACACAACTAATATCAGGAATACAAATATACATTGTCCCTACAAACAGGTCTCATGAAGATGATTCAGCCCTTGATTTATGCATTTACAACTTGCACTGGTTGAAACTGCAAACTGCAACCTGATATTTATACCAATTTAACCCAGGTCATATCAATATGTGGCTGTTCAAAGAACACAGACATCAGGAGAAATATGGAATGACGAGGAACTGGCTTGGAGCAGACTCCAATGACTACATAGACAGAGACTGAATCATTGTTTGTGGTCATGTTCATTTCATTAAGTAAGATAAAATGATTTTATCATACCCCACATAATTTTGTTATAATGTACTAAGTCATCAATATCAAAACTCAAGCATTATACATGTATATAATTCCATATTGGCAACCAGGTGCAACATGCAAGTGGGTTTCATTTCTTTAAATCGAGCCATGATCTATATTTGTGGTGGTGTGTGGTCTTGTGCATAGAGTTAAGGTCACAAATCAGTTGAAGTTAAGCAACGATGGGCTCGGAGAGTCCTTGGATGGGTGACTGTGTTTGGCAGCTTGATTCTTGAGAGTTTCTAAGATTCCAGTCCTGCCTCACAATGAAGCACACGTTATACATGTGGTCTCACATGCAAGTGAGTTTGTTCAAAATTGCCTCTGTTCACCCAGCAGAAAATGGGTACCTGGTGGGATAAGTCATGTGACAACTACCTTCTAGCACCTAACAGGCAGCTTGGGTTATCAAGGATAATAATGTGCTGTGCCTTGATTGTTTTCGCTATGAGCATACCTAGTGTGGAGTTTGGCGCTATATACATGGACACATTATTATTATATTTCTGAGATATGATATTTATGATGCACAAACTGATAACCCCTATTTAACATCTTGGCTACCCCTTTCCCCTGGCACAAAGCCCATGAAAGTTAGTATAGGTAACTGGCTTTATTACTTCATATCACCCACATGGGCACAGATGTTGTTGAGATTATTTTCAGTATTTCTCACTGAGAATTAATGCTCATTGGCTTGTTTCTTTCACACCGGACTAAATGTCTTCACTTGAGTTCAGAAACCCACATTTTTCAACATTGTCTTTTTCAACAAAGGTCCCTGAATTATTTTTTTGTAAATAATACATTAATTTATAGTAATACCAAATTATGAAATAGCAACATTAATTCTGAAACATGCTCAGACATTTTCTGTTTTTCACTTGATGCACTTTGTATATTTGAGAGTGTTTTTCCAAGTTTTTGCTCATAGCTATATGGACTTAGCATCAGGTAACTTCCTGCAAAGTGGTAAAGCAATATTGCTGCCCACATGCCCAGAACACCCACTCTCTCACACAAAAACATCTACATCAAGAGATGTCAAGGTCCCTTTCTGTGTCAAACAACAGCGGGCAATGAAACCAGATTAACAAATACTCTACAAATAGTTCAACATTTCACCTACACAATATCTCTTTATATCTGTCAAAGTGGATCACCATCAATAGCACAATCACCTTGGGGACTGTCAGAACTGAATCAGTGAAGTGCTTGTCAAAAACACCAGTGAAAACAGTCATCTAGCTGCCACTTCTAACTGATCTTAAATTGTCTGGAGTCTGTAGCCAGTAGTACGGGGACGTATTCCCACCTAATTCTTAGTCTATATCCTAGTAGAGGATTGGCAGACGGGAAGTGAGGTTCTTGACGGATTGCATGGAATATTATTCTCCCTCCTTCTCTCTCACTTTTTCTATTTTTCCTCTCCCTCTTCCCTCTCTCTCCTCCCTCTCTCCTCTTTCTCCCTCTCTCCTCTCTCTCTCTCTCCTCCCTTCCTCTCTCTTCCTCTCCCTCTCTCCATCTCCTTCCTTCTCTCTCTTCCACTCATCCTCCATCTCCCCCTTCCTCTCTCTCTTCCCCTCCGTCTCCATCTCCCTTCCTTCCCTCTTTCCTCCCTTCCTCTCCCTCTCCTTCCCTCTCTTCCTCTTTCTCCTTCTCTCCTTCCTCTCCCTCCTCTCTCTCTCTCCTCTCCTCTCTCCGCCCTCCTTCCTCCTCTCTCTCTCCCTTCTCTCTCTCTCTCTTCTCCTCTCTCATCTCCCCTTCCTTCCCTCTCTCTCTTCCCCTCCCTCTCTCCTTCCTCTTTCTTCCTTCTCTCTCTTCCTCCTTCTCCATCTCCCCTTCCTTCCTCTCTCTCTTCCTCCCTCTCTATTCCATCTCCCCTTCCTTCCCTCTCTCTCTTCCACTCCACGCTCTCATCTCCCCTTCCTTCCCTCTCTCTCTTCCTCCATCTCCATCTCCCCTTTCCCTCTCTCTCTTCCCTCTCTTCTCCATCTCCCCTTCCTTCCATCTCTCTTCCCCTCTTCTCCATCTCCCTTCCTTCCTCTCTCTCCCCTCCTCTCTCCATCTCCTTCCTTCCCTCTCTCTCTCCCTCCTCTGTCTCCCTCCCTTCCTTCCCTCTCTCTCTTCCCTCCATCTCTCATCTCCCCTTCCTCCCTCTCTCTCTTCCCTCCACTCTCCATCTCCCCCTCTCCTTCCCTCTCTCTCTTCCCCTCCATCTCCATCTCCCCTTCCTTCCTTCTCTCTCTTCCCCTCCACTCTGTCTCCATCTCCCCTTCCTTCCCTCTCTCTCCCACCCTCTCTCTTTCCATCTGGTCCTCTCCTCCTCTCTCTCTCTTCCCCGCTCTCCATCTCCCCATCTCTCTCTCTCTCCCCTCCGTCTGTCTCTCTCCTTCCTTCCCTCTTTCTCTTCCCTCCGTCTCCATCTCCCCTTCCTTCCCTCTTTCTCTTCCCCTCCGGCTCTGTCTCCATCTCCCCTTCCTTCCCTCTTTCTCTCAGCTGTCTCCATCTCCCCATAATTCCCTCTCTCTCTTCTCCCTCTCTGTCTCCATCTCCCCTTCCTTCCCTCTCTCTTCCCTCCGCTCTGCATCTCCCCTTCCTTCCCTCTCTCTCTTCCCCGGCTCTCCATCTCCCCCTTCCTTCCCTCTCTCTTCCCCTCGGCTCTGTCTCCATCTCCCCTTCCTTCCCTCTCTCTTCCCCTCCGGCTCTGCATCTCCCCTTCCTTCCCTCTCTCTCTTCCCCATCTCCATCTCCCCCTTCCTTCCCTTTCTCTCCCACCCTCTCTCTTTCCATCTGGTCCTCTCCTCCCTCTCTCTCTCTCTCTCTCTCTCTCAGAACAGATTATTATTTTTTGAAACAAAGTTATTGATTGAGTGATGTAAATTGAACATGGACAAATAAAGTCAGCATGCATGCTACTTTTCACGGCCATTACTTAATTGCTTTATGGATATTTCTACCTCCCTGACACTTGCAGTGAGAACTGCTAGCATCCCTCTCCAGATCAATCCATACAGGACGCAATAGTTACCCACAAATCGTCATCCTTTATCAGATTTCAATGTATGCAACGTGGCTGCTGGAAAGCTATAAATCATTGTCGACCTTTCTATATTAATTCATGTCTTGACATATTCTTTCACTGTGTAATTGCATAATCAGGGGTCAATTACTGGACTTATTGCACTTACATATAATACTAGTCCAGTGATAGTGTGGGGGTGTCCACAGTACACCGACATCTCCTGCCACCTGACACATGCTAAAACACTGGCCATTTGTGTAATTGAATAATAACGCTAATCAACAGTGGACTCAATCTCAGCATTTCTACATACTGCCTCTTCAATGCCGCAGCTCGTCAATGTTCTCAAGGCAGCGCCGACTTAATAGAACCATGACATTTTTCTAATCAAGTCATACCCTGCTCACGTTTGCAAATGTCAAACGGCAGTGACATTCTACAGTTCTGTTCCTAATGGCTGCAGGGGTCACCACCGCCCACACTGCTGTACACAAGGTCTTCCCAGTTCAGCCCCTCCACTCTGAGGTCACTCCTCCTTGCCTCCCTGGGGTTATCCCCCTGCCTCCATCAGGGTTACTCCCCCATTGCCTCTCAGGGTTACTTCCCCCCACCTCAGAGATCAGTGTCTTCACCATAATACAACTATGTCAACATACATCGTACAAGTGTTAAGCTGGAATGTACAGAGAAAGAAGGAGTCCCTTCACAGGGGCCTACATGCATCCCTTCTTGTGGTCTTGTTAAGTTCAGTATGTATGGAGGTAGGGAATGCCAGCGTCCCCTATACAAGGTTCTGTTAAGTTCAATATGTACAGAGGTAGGGAATGCCAGAGTCCCCTATACAAGGTTCTGTTAAGTTCAATAGGTGCAGAGGTATGGAATGCCAGAGTCCCCTATACAAGGTTCTGTTAAGTTCAATATAGACAGAGGTAGGGAATGCCAGAGTCCCCTATACAAGGTTCTGTTAAGTTCAATATGTACAGAGGTAGGGAACGTCAGAGTCCCCTATACAAGGTTCTGTTAAGTTCAATAGGTGCAGAGGTATGGAATGCCAGAGTCCCCCATACAAGGTTCTGTTAAGTTCAATAGGTACAGGCGAGGGAATGCCAGAGTCCCCATACAAGGTTCTGTTAAGTTCAATAGGTACAGGCGAGGGAATGCCAGAGTCCCCATACAAGGTTCTGTTAAGTTCAATAGGTACAGGCGAGGGAATGCCAGAGTCCCCTATACAAGGTTCTGTTAAGTTCAATAGGTACAGGCGAGGGAATGCCAGAGTCCCCTATACAAGGTTCTGTTAAGTTCAATAGGTACAGGCTGAGGGAATGCCAGAGTCCCCTATACAAGGTTCTGTTAAGTTCAATAGGTACAGGCTGAGGGAATGCCAGAGTCCCCTATACAAGGTTCTGTTAAGTTCAATAGGTACAGGCGAGGGAATGCCAGAGTCCCCTATACAAGGTTCTGTTAAGTTCAATAGGTACAGGCGAGGGAATGCCAGAGTCCCCTATACAAGGTTCTGTTAAGTTCAATAGGTACAGGCGAGGGAATGCCAGAGTCCCCTATACAAGGTTCTGTTAAGTTCAATAGGTACAGGCGAGGGAATGCCAGAGTCCCCTATACAAGGTTCTGTTAAGTTCAATATGTACAGAGGTAGGGAATGCCAGAGTCCCCTATACAAGGTTCTGTTAAGTTCAATAGGTGCAGAGGTATGGAATGCCAGAGTCCCCTATACAAGGTTCTGTTAAGTTCAATAGGTACAGGCGAGGGAATGCCAGAGTCCCCTATACAAGGTTCTGTTAAGTTCAATAGGTACAGGCGAGGGAATGCCAGAGTCCCCTATACAAGGTTCTGTTAAGTTCAATAGGTACAGGCGAGGGAATGCCAGAGTCCCCTATACAAGGTTCTGTTAAGTTCAATATGTGCAGAGGTAGGGAATGCCAGAGTCCCTTATACAAGGTTCTGTTAAGTTCAATATGTGCAGAGGTAGGGAATGCCAGAGTCCCCTATACTAGGTTCTGTTAAGTTCTAATGTATGACAAACTAAAATGTAAGGAAGATCTAAAACTGTTTCAATGCCAGATCACACTGTAGGCAGAGACTGATGGATTCCCACTGGACTACACACAAGATAGGGACAGCATATCAGAAGACCTTGGTTGCAGGCACCAAACACAACATCAGACCAGTGAGGTGGAACTAACCTCTTCTGTTTCAAGTCCAGCTTTCCGTATATTACGCATGAACTTCTCTCGCCATTGTACATGTTTCTCCTCTGTGGGCTTCACCCCAAGTTTCTTGTCCAGGGAGTCCTCGTACACAATCACAAAATCTGAAATTACCACAAAATAAAATGTTTAGTGATGAATAAATAGAGTGAGTGACTGAGTTTGGGTTTACACCACTTTTAGCAATATTCCAGCAATATCACGGCGGGGGACACCAGAAATGGGCTTCACACATTGTACCCATGTTGGGAATCAAACCCAGGTCTTCGGCATGACGAGCGAACACTTTAACCACTAGGCTACCCCACCGCCCTGATGAATAAATAGACAAGTTGCTGTATTGATACACCAGGCACATAAAGAAACTGTGCATACAAAAATTTAAAATCTATATTTATCAAACCTGTGTAAACACATAAGGATTTAAACCCAGAGATTAATGACATGTATCCAACATGCATGCACGTGCCACGTTCCGTGACGTCAGTGGGTTCGTCCTTGAGACGTGCAATACGTTGTTGCATGTGCATTCCGGGAAAGAGAAACAGAGCAAATGTATGCCACACAATACTGTCACTTTGGAAAGCTCAACCCCTGCCCTTGCGATCGTTCAAAAAATTAAACGGCTATTGAAACGCATAGCATGCCAAGGCTCACGTCTGCACAACGTCATGAGGCCATTGGGATGGTCCGTGGGGGAATGTCTCAACGACAAGTGGCTGCACATTTCCACTGCCACCGGAACACCACTTCTGCACTGGTGAGACGCTACGAGAACACAAATGACGTCATCGATCGGCCACGTTCTGGACGTCCACATGTAACAACGCCAAGACAGGACAGATGGATAAGGGTGACCCATCTTCACCACAGGTTTCAGACTGCAGTGATGACTGCCCAAACCATCCCAGGACTTCGCCGTATCCACCCCAACACAGTTCGACAACATTTACGTCATCACGGGATCAGACCACGACGTCCCGCCATACGGCCTATCCTGACACAACATCATTGACAAGCTCGCCAAATGTGGTGCCGAAATCATGTCCGCAGACCCTTGTTTTGGTGGAGAAATGTTGTTTTTACAGATGAGTCCAGGTTTAACATTTCCCATAGTGATGGACGTCAATGTGCCTATAGACGCGTGGAAGAACGTTATGCACAGGCCTGTGTCTTGGAGAAGAATCGCTTTTGTGGTGGTTCCGTGATGATTTGGGGTGGAATAACAGCACGCCAAAGAACTCCTTCGGTGATTGTTCAGGGCAACTTAACTGGTGTGGGCTACAGGGATCAGATTCTTCGACCTGTGGCAATTCCTTTTCTGCAACGTCATGGCCATGGGTTAACATTCCAACAGGACAATGCACGCTCTCATATGGCAAGGGTTGCTATGGATTCCTTGCAACACCACAACGTTGACTTACTGCCTTGGCCTGCAAATTCACCGGATCTCTCCCCGATAGAGCATGTTTGGGACGAGATGGATCGACGTCTACGCCATCTTCCTCATACGCCAGGTAACGTCCTTGACCTTGCAACAGAACTTGAGAGAATCTGGCGTGACATCCCACAAGCTCTCCTTGCATGTTGATAGGCTCTATGCGTCGTCGATGCACTGCTGTTCTCAATGCCGATGGTGGACACACCCGTTATTGAGCTTGTGACATGGTCGTTTGACCCCTGTCCCGCTTGTGGACTCGTGACGTCATTGTGATTGACTTCTCAATTGAAATTCTCCCGACTTGTTATGGTCTCAAGATTCCTCCATTAAAGTTTATATGTACCTTTGACATTGTTATCGTACTTATCAACTGGGATAATATTTTGACAATGCACAGTTTCTTTATGTGGCTAGTATATAATGTATTGTACCTTTACACAAATGAAAAGAAAGGATATTTTACTTCCAGAACAAAGCCTGCCTCCATGGTCTAGTATTTGATTGTTTTTGTTTGTTTATATGGTGGTGGCTTGTAAATAATCAAGTCTGGACAAGACAATTTGGTGATCAACATCACGAGCATGGATCGTGCCCATGGTCTGCTCAGAGAAGGTTGTTGGTTTAATCCCAAAGATGCCATATGATTTATATATATGTCATGTCACAACTTCATCATGGCATAAAAGGTGCAGTAGGATAGCCTTATGGGTAAAGCTTCACTCATCACACTGAAGACCCGGGTTCGATTCCCCACATGGATACAATGTGTGAAGCCCATTTCTGGTGTCCCCGTCATGATATTGCATTAATATTGTTAAAAGGGGCGTAAAACCGAACTCACTCACACATCATGTTATTACATCACCAATATATATTACTGATTGCATTTAGATTGTTACCCACCTATTTTCCTCTTTTCATCTTTAAAGTAGCAGCCCAAGTTCCCAAGATACTTGGACTCCATGTGAGTTTCTGGCGATGAGGAGGCCTGAAAGACAAAACAATAATATCAATAAACAGTTTTACAAGATTGATTCATGCATGTTGGAATGTAAATCATCTCTGAATAATGTCAACCAGAGGCTGACAGCACAAGCACTAATCTCCACCAATAGGGTGAAGCAACATAGTACCATCTGATACTCCACATTTGGCTGTCAGTAAAGCTGGGATATACTCTGCCATAGATCCCGTAATGGGCGACACTAATGGTGCCGATATATTCTGGTAACCCTGTACAATTGTATATTTTGGCATCCCCAATTGCAAGGTATCAAGCATGGTGTACTGGGGATGTATTCTGGCATCCCCAAGGTATCAAGCATGGTGTATTGGGGATGTATTCTGGCATCCCCAAGGTATCAAGCATGGTGTATTGGGGATGTATTTTGACATTGTGGGAACAAGCATGGTGTACTGGGAACAAGCATGGTGTACTGGGGATGTATCCATATGGGATCCCAAGGTGTACTGGGGATGTATTCTGGCATCCCAAGGTATCAAGCATGGTGTACTGGGGATGTATTTAGACATTGTGGGAACAAGCATGGTGTACTGGGGATGTATTCTGGCATCCCCAAGGTATCAAGCATGGTGTATTGGGGATGTATTTTGACATTGTGGGAACAAGCATGGTGTACTGGGGATGTATTCTGGCATCCCCAAGGTATCAAGCATGGTGTATTGGGGATATATTTTGACATTGTGGGAACAAGCATGGTATACTGGGGATGTATTCTGGCATCCCCAAGGTATCAAGCATGGTGTATTGGGGATGTATTTAGACATTGTGGGAACAAGCATGGTGTACTGGGGATATATTCTGGCATCCCCAGGGTATCAAGCATGGTGTACTGAGGATGTATTCTGGCATCCACATGGGAACAAACAAGGTGTACTGGGGATGTATTCTGGCATCCACATGGGAACAAGTATGGTGTACTGGGGATGTATTCTGGCATCCACATGGCAACAAGTATGGTGTACTGGGGTCTATTCTGGCATCTCCAGGGTATCAAGGATGGTGTACTTGGGATATATTCTGGCATCCATATGGGAACAAGTATGAAGTACTGAGGATGTATTCTGGCATCCCCAAGGTATCAAGCATGGTGTATTGGGGATGTATTTAGACATTGTGGGAACAAGCATGATTTACTGGGGATGTATTCTGGCATCCATATGGGAACAAGTATGGTGTACTGAGGATGTATTCTGGCATCCACATGGGAACAAGTATGGTGTACTGTGGATGTATTCTGGCATCCATATGGGAACAAGTATGGTGTACTGAGGATGTATTCTGGCATCCCCAAGGTATCAAGCATGGTGTATTGGGGATGTATTTAGACATTGTGGGAACAAGCATGATGTACTGGGGATATATTCTGGCATCCACATGGGAACAAGTATGATGTACTGGGGATGTATTCTGGCACCCCCAGGGTATCAAGTATGGTGTACTGGGGATGTATTCTGGCATCCATATGGGAACAAGTATGATGTACTGGGGATGTATTCTGGCATCCATATGGGAACAAACAAGGTGTACTGGGGATGTATTCTGGCATCCACATGGGAACAAGTATGGTGTACTGGGGATGTATTCTGGCATCCACATGGCAACAAGTATGGTGTACTGGGGTGTATTCTGGCATCTCCAGGGTATCAAGGATGGTGTACTGGGGATATATTCTGGCATCCATATGGGAACAAGTATGGTGTACTGAGGATGTATTCTGGCATCCCCAAGGTATCAAGCATGGTGTATTGGGGATGTATTTAGACATTGTGGGAACAAGCATGGTGTACCGGGGATATATTCTGGCATCCATATGGGAACAAGTATGGTGTACTGAGGATGTATTCTGGCATCCCCAAGGTATCAAGCATGGTGTATTGGGGATGTATTTAGACATTGTGGGAACAAGCATGGTGTACTGGGGATATATTCTGGCATCCACATGGGAACAAGTATGGTGTACTGGGGATGTATTCTGGCACCCCCAGGGTATCAAGTATGGTGTACTGGGGATGTATTCTGGCATCCACATGGGAACAAGTCTGGTGTACTGAGGATGTATTCTGGCACCCCCAGGGTATCAAGTATGGTGTACTGGGGATGTATTCTGGCATCCATATGGGAACAAGTATGGTGTACTGGGGATGTATTCTGGCATCCATATGGGAACAAGTATGGTGTACTGGGGATGTATTCTGGCATCCACATGGGAACAAGCATGATGTACTGGGGATGTATTCTGGCACCCCCAGGGTATCAAGTATGGTGTACTGGGGATGTATTCTGGCATCCACATGGGAACAAGTATGGTGTACTGGGGATGTATTCTGGCATCCACATGGGAACAAGTATGGTGTACTGAGGATGTATTCTGGCATCCCCAAGGTATGGGAATCAAAGCATGGTGTACTGGGGATGTATTCTGGCATCCACATGGGAACAAGTATGGTGTACTGGGGATGTATTCTGGCATCCACATGGGAACAAGTATGGTGTACTGGGGATGTATTCTGGCATCCACATGGGAACAAGTATGGTGTACTGGGATGTATTCTGGCATGGTGATGTACTGGGGATGTATTCTGGCATCCACATGGGAACAAGTATGGTGTACTGGGGATGTATTCTGGCATCCCCAGGGTATCAAGTATGGTGTACTGGGGATGTATTCTGGCATCCACATGGGAACAAGTATGGTGTACTGGGGATGTATTCTGGCATCCCCATGGCAACAAGTATCAAGTATGGTGTATTCTGGGATGTATTCAAGGATGGTGTACTGGGGATATATTCTGGCATCCATATGGGAACAAGTATGGTGTACTGGGGATGTATTCTGGCATCCACATGGCAACATGGTGTATGATGTGTACTGGGATGTATTCTGGCAACAAGTATGATGTACTGGGGATGTATTCTGGCATCCACATGGGAACAAGTATGGTGTACTGTGGATGTATTCTGGCATCCACATAGGAACAAGTAAGGTGTACTAGGGATTTTTTCTGGCAGCCTGGGTTTATTCTGAAATCTCCAGCGGACTGGTGGCGTACAGTAGTCTATTCACCACGAGTGACTGGCATCTTTCCTGGCCTGGCATCCCTACAAATGAACCTGACATAGAAGGGAAACAATACACCTGAGACACACTGAATCAGGATTATGACTGGAACTGACTGCAAACATGATTCAGACACTGAAACGATATACTCATATTATCTCTGCAGTCAACTGGACATTTGCGAGAATAGATGTAAGTAGAGAAGAGTGAATGCTATTCCCCCGAGCAGTGTTTCCCATAAATCTCTATAGTATTTCAGATGGTCAACAGAGGGCAGTCTTCAGATAGCCTCTTACAGAGTCCCTCCCTGGAATTGCCTGAAGGATTATCTTGTCAAAGACAAAACAGGAATTGGTCCTCTGTTAACTCATCTCTCATAAAGAAATTCAGAATTTGAATGATGAGGATTGAATTTTTGAGTGACCCATGCTTTCAGCACTCTAACACGAAAGCAATTGAGATGTATTGGCTTAAGGGAGAACTTAGCTCTAGTCCGTTGCCAGTTCTAGCAAATTTGATTAAAGTTGTGAAATGCGAAAACCTCACTTTCTTTGTCTGCTTATAATGAAGATTGATTCAGCAGTTTATGATTACCTGATATACACAGAGGCAATGTGTGTTGGGCCACACGGGGCACTGGGCACGGGGCACGTAGCGACTGATCAGTTTATACAGCAGAGGAAAGGGGAAATGGGCCTTGGTTGTTTTGAAACAAAAACAAAATTGTTATCAGTGAATTAGCAGTGTTGAGTCTCAATGAAACTAGGGCTGTTCTGAAAATAGCGACTTGGCAGTTTTATTGAGACTTTGTAAATATAACGTGTCAGTGCAAAAACATACCTAGTCTTGACTGTCCACAGAAATAGATTCCATTTGGTGTAACAGGCAAAATAACTTAGCAGTGGAACACTGAAAACGAGTGATGGCACACTGTGCTCGTGAAAAAGGTCAGAAATCTGTAATCCATACAATTGTAAATATACGCTGTCATGGACATTTTGGACTTTGTTGGGAAGACCCGTGAAGATCCGGGTTAGAATATTGATGTTCAGTAACCCTTGCTTGTCATAAGAGGCGACTAACGGGATCGGGTGGTCAGGCTCAATGGCTGGGTTGACACATGTCATCGGTTCCCAATTGCGCAGATCGATGCTCATACTGTTGATTACTGGATTGTCTGGTCCAGATTCGATTATTTACAGACCGCCGCCATATAGCTGGAATATTGCTTGCTGAGTGCGGCGTAAAACTAAACTCACTCACTCACTTTGTGGAGAAACTCATGAAGATAAAACTTTCGAATGGGTCAAATGTTAATCCATTGATGTTCATTGGAAGAGCAAATACATAAGGTCATGACAGCAGGACAGGCTATCATGCAACTTTGTATACCAATCTGCAGAGCGTACACGATCCGCGGAAAATCCTCATCCCTGGGTATGGGGGCTGTAGTGTCATAGTAGTAGGGGTAGCCTTATGGTTAAAGCATTATCAATACGCCGAAGACCCGGGTTCGAATCCCCACATGGGTATAATGTGTGAAGCCCATTTCTGGTGTCCCCCGCCGTGATGTTGCTGGAATATTGCTAAAAGCGGCGTAAAAACAAACTCAGTCAGTCAGTCAGTCATAGAGTAGGGTTGTATTATACATGACTGAATAAACATCACACTTAACAGGCAATCTTGAAATTGATTCATTTATTTAGTTTTGAAAACAATCAATAATCAATCGATACACAGCACATTCATCATGCCGTTGTGATGCATGGTAGATCCTTCCAGCAGAACCTCCTGACTTTACCGGGCGGTGGGGTACCCTAGTGGTTAAGTGTTGGCTCGTCACGCCGAAAACCCGGGTTCGAATCCCCACATGGGTACAATGTGTGAAGCCCATTTCTGGTGTCCC